AATGTCCACTGTGGAATTCAATCCGTTCTCTAATGATCCGCCCCATACAATGGCTGCTAATCTGGCTAAGCTGAAACCAGCTTGTTTTAGGATTCGATTTCTATGAATTATTATCATTTCTAATACTGCGATAATTTTTGGGTCGGGGTACTGCACGTGCTTTAATTTGTCCGTGCATGTATCTCTAAGCCGGGCATCAGAGTACCTCCGGGTCTGACAGCTTTATTGTACGGACAGCAAAAATAGTATCAGCCGGTCGCACACTGGACTGAAATAGCTACATTTGGTAGGATGGTATACTATAGCAAATCATGCAAGAAAACGCCGATCATATTGAGGGGAGGTCCTTATTGAAAGGAATACTGTACTGCTCGGAGGGATTGGAAATCTCTTCAGCCTTTGTTCTGTGCAAACAAAGCTTGTGCTGTCATCGGCCGTCGACTGTCCAATTACGAACAATATCAACATATCTTGTTGACTCCTAACAGTCGGATATGTGTCAGTCCTGCGTCGAACAGTTGATAAGTACACCAAAGTTCCTTACCTAGATGCATTTCACTTCACCCCAAGGTGGTACTCGTCAATGCAAGTGGAAATTTTCACACTATAAATAGTACATTCACAGCAGAATCTAACAGTTCTGCATCTCTAGGGAGTGTCTTCGTACATCACAAGTCCTTAGAATGGTGGTTCATGCATAGTAATCGTAACAGTTACGTCCAAAATGGTCGCCTTCTAAGGTATTGAGCTAAGAGTACATGACCATATGGAAAAATAAATGGATATTCCTGAAATGAATTTTCGACTCTCACAACAAAGTCAATTGCATGAGTGCTTTCGTTGGTACTGAGATTCGTCAGGTTGATGTGGCAGCATTTAACGCGTGGCTCCCCAACTAACGGTTCCAGACTGCTACCCCCAGCCCTGCACACTTTCGAGTATGATTTCGGAGGTGATTTTTGTTCCATCAAACTACGGACGTCCGGGAAATCACCCCCTCGCTCAATAATTAATCTTCTTCTCGGAAGACTTGACAATTAGCTTTGGAATGTCACCGACCTTAAGCTGCCCAGCACCTAGACTTTTACACGGTAAATAAACTAAAATAAGCCTCCATCAATTTCACATGATTACTGCTTTCAGCACCGGTGCTCTCTATTAGATTTGGAAACAGGCAATTCTCGCACAAGCTTTATGGTCTCCTTCGACCACCTCCGAAACACGCATACAGGAACCCAGTTTGGTCGGACACCCCAAACCAATCGGAACAAACCCAGATTGGCCGCATTTTACTCTTCGGGTGTCTGGTGATTCTGGTGCAGTGGATCGCGGTTTCTGTGGCGTTGGAGTTGTGTCTGATCCCACGGCTAAATGGATTCCTCTGATTGATCGTCTTCAAGCTGTTCGGTTGACTGGCTCAATCAGGATTAGAAATTCGTTAGAAATTTGTCCAACAGGATGCAGCTTTGATACCGAGAAAGAAATAATCATCATTACTAGCTGTGAGAACTGCATAATTGTCATACAGTGGTCGGTGCTTTGGTCAGCGTAACCCCCAAATATCGTTATTGTGGCGGATGATATGGATTCCCTGACTGCCGACTAAGCTCTGATAAGCCCATTTTATCGACCATTTGGGGTCGACGCTCACAGCACACAATGTAAAGCGCCTTCATTTATGTGCTGAATATCATTTATTTTGGAGAGCACAAACTTTTAGCACGGGTGCACTTATCGTGCTGTATAGAGGCCGCTAACTGCACACCAGCTTTGGAGTCGCTGGAACCATATATCAATCAGCTACCTGTGGAGAGCTTCGATGCGAGGTTGTCATTCGTTTTGGTGTACACCACTTCACTCTAATCACGGCACTGGGCTGGCAAGCGCTTTTCAATGCTTCTCATCTGGAAAGTGCTCTTTGACGCAGGACGATGCACCTCTTAAGCGTTTCTGCAATATAATAACATCGAATGGGGTTGGTTCCGAAGCTTCCAAAACTTTGTGGACGCACTGCTAACAATACGATTTGGTAACGAGTGGTAAATGTAAATGAAATCATGCTCGCTGCTTTTGGTACCGAGATCGCTTCCACACACTAATAATCACTCGATCTTGTCACGATCAGTAGTTGTCCATGATGCTAGGAAAACAGTACCAGCAACAAACGACTGTGATGCAAAGTACAGACCTCTCAAACGTCACAAAATGAAAAGTCTAAGGATCTACAGGGAACGACAGTGGATAGTGAATGTTCGGTAAATGGAGAAGGCTTTTGAAATGGGTATTCCCTTATGCTTGTTTTAGCTAGTCTGATCAACATGTTCGAGGAGGGTGGGTTAGTGAAATCTTCTCGGAAGGAAACCGGACCCCAGTCCATTCTTGAACGATAAACTGAACACTTTGAAGAACAGTATAGCTGAGCCCCATTAGCTCTGAAAGGACCGTATGAGCCCGAATAAAACGTTGACCCTATCCGCCATCGACACCTGAAATCCAGCACCTCAAATCACCTGGTCCAGACGATTTGCATCCTGCACTGTTCAAAAAAGGTTGTTAGCCCCTCGTTGCTAACCTAACTTCGCCCAAATATGTGGGACGAAAACAAGATACCGACGGGATGGAGTACTTCGACAGCAAGTCCCATGTGCAAAATCGGTGCAAGACCATGGTGGTTTCCACTGTGGTATCAGTCTAATGACCGTAATTTTCAAGGTGCTTACTAGTATTTTACGAGGGTGGATCTGTAATTGAGAGAGTCAGATTCGCGAGAATCAAGTTGGGTTGCATCGATCATATCTTCACTTGGCGTCAAATAAATAATATATAAAAACAACGCGGGTGCTTCGCTACCGTGCAACCATCTTTTGTTCGAAAGCCTTGTTGCGAAAAAAGAACAAACATGGATGGGCATGGAACCTAGTGAAATCCCATCGCAGTTATTCCGAGGTGCTTACATTCCGGATAGAAACAGAATCTTGATAAGAGATTATGAAACGTTTGGGCGCTGTCGGTGCTACTTGCGTTCCAGAATGAAGACCGCGAGATCTCCATTGAGCCTGGTTGGAGACGCTGCAAGATATGGTTGCCAATAGATTCCAGTGGCGTTTCGGTTGTCAGCCTCTATTCAGATTGTCTGAATGAGTGTCTGGAGGTGTAGGCACCTGGGAATGATTGTAAGTTAGCACTAACCCCCCACCCTTCTTTATTCTTTTCTTTACAATAAGGCTTTCGAAAAAATAATGGCTACACGGCAATGAAGCGTCGGTGTTGAAAGCTGATGTCATGCTGTCGATAAAGGTTATGATGATGCAAGAAACCCTACTTGGTGTTCTTGGATTTTCGCTTCACGTGCAGGAGTTAAGTGTTGCAGCATTATTGTAGTAAGTAGTCGCTTCGTCTTACGTCACACTAATACCTCTGTGGCTATCGCAGCCGTTTCGTGTAATACTTTGAATAGAGACCCCAGTTGTTGGTCCAAATTGTCTGGAGAAGAAGACCAGCGTCTTTGAGTGACCCTGTTGAAAGATCCTCTGTCCGGTGGCCTGATGGAGCTTCATTTCAGAAAATTATGTCAACAACCTATCGAGTGAGGGAAAATATAATCTTACAGACCACGGCTGCAGTTGAGCGAGCCGAATGAAAGACGGATAGTCAACTAAGTTATGATCGAAGATATTCTAGACGTTAAGTCATATTATCAAATTTCCGAATTTTTTTACCAACCCACCGAAACGTGATACCCTAGATCCTGTTTGTGGCTTGTCTAGAGAGACCTGCATGCATTCCCTACTATATTAGCCTCTTCCATCGGGTGGTGTGACATTCAAGCACCGAAAGGGTTCTACAGCTGAACGATTATATTATTGTCTTTAGCCCCATTCATCCTTTGAGCTTGTTGGTTCCTTCAGGCCTGGAACCACTCGACAATTCTCTTGAATTGGCGTCTACTTGACCATCTAGTCGATTTACGCTGCCCTCCAAAAGATATGCAACATCTTATGCCAGTTCTGAGATCAATAGTTAGTTTGTGCGCACTCGGAAGCGCACCGGTAGCCAAGGCCTAGGCCTGGTACTGCGCATGAACGAAGGGATCAGTACAAATTTGCAAAAGACGCTCGCCATCGTCACGCCCCGAGTCTAAACTAAACTCCTCCAAATGGTGCCTCGCATGACTTGAGCGTCCTACTTGCGTTGAAGTATTATGGCTATATTTGAACTGTTAGTTGATAATAGGATGGTTATTTAATTAAATTTAAATTTAAATTTAAATACATAGCGTCTCACGGCTCCTACCATGGAAACGACGGCATGCGTCTGTATTTATTTGAACCTTTTCAGGATGATCCGTTGCGCTTCAGGCCAACGGAAATTTCAGAAAAATAAGCTTCCAGACGAAGCTGCGAAATACTCACCACAAACACTGCAACCTTCATGCGGCATACCATCGATTGTGATGTCCCAGTCTAAGAGAATTAACGGAAGTAGCCAAGCTACTAAATAACGAAAACCCTCCAAGTAAAGGTGGTATTCCGGTTAAAATCCACAAAAACTGCTTTCCGGCTGTTCTCGAACCTTGCCCTGCTATTCCAGTGGATTTGGGTGCCAATGTGCGACTACGGTACCAAAAAGGAAGTAGCCAGCTACTAAATAACGAAAACCCTCCAAGTAAAGGTGGTATTCCGGTTAAAATCCACAAAAACTGCTTTCCGGCTGTTCTCGAACCTTGCCCTGCTATTCCAGTGGATTTGGGTGCCAATGTGCGACTACGGTACCAAAAAAGGCAACACTATCTTGTGGGAACTTCTGGAGTATCAGCCACAGTCGAAATATTTTCCACACTACTGCCCTGCTGCCTTAGAGGAGAAAGACTCACGTCAGACTGTATCAAGGAGGATTCTGTGCAGGAAGAGGTTGCGATGACCAAATATTCCTTCTTTGGAACGCCGCTACAAGATCCAGCAACCAACCGCTTGCCTTAGTGGCAGTACTCGACTTAGTCAATGAGGAGTGCCTCTGGTCCGGCTTACAAGTTGATAATGTGTCAGATAAGCTGCTGAATATAATCAGAGCCTACTTCTCAGACACATAAGTCCGCATCCAGTATATGGAAGGCCGCTGACTTCCATCGGTGCGGCTTCAGCGGCTGCTCTGGAGTGCCACTAAGCCGTAACGATTCGATTGTGGACTTTGATCACGTTGGTAATATCGTCACCCTAAGTAGAGACCCGACAGAAATGCAACCCATCCCTGGTAGTGTCGGCCACTACGCTCTGCTGATTTGATCTGAACTACATCCTGGAACTACGCGCTTCTTCACTACAGACGTGGATGTCAAGTCTAGATAATTTAGTGTTAGCCAAGTCTATTCCTTCCAGAGTTTGGGATCCTTCATTCTCCCAAATAGTCAACCACTACGACAATAGAAATGCTAGTCTGTCAGCGTCAGAAAAGCCTTCATGCTACTACACCGCTCTATTGGAGCACTCTGGACTTCAAACGAAGCTCCTTGTGTACACTGCGACCATCCTATCTGTACTAACTTAGGCCTGTGAGACCTGGCTTCTCCGAACTCGAAGTATTTGACCACTTGTGGTTAAGGTAACCATGCCAAATACATTAAAATGACAGAGTATCCAATGAAGGTGTCAGATACTGCTGTTGTGATACTCCACGCCTCCACATTGATCCAGAGACGAAAATGACAGTAGCCAGGATACGTCCTCCCCAAAGCGGAATATGAGTTATTCACAGTATCCCTGTTGCCACTGTCTTGCCCAGAATGGCGCTGTCGGTGACAATTTAAAATCCGGCTCTTGACGGTGGAGACCGCTTTTGTTATTTTGAAGGTGGTCTTCGGGGCCAAACAGTACAACAGAAACGGGATGACGTTGTGCTAGGACTTTACTGCCGATCGTACTTTATAGGCAACAGCGATCTAATATATTCTTGAAGCCGATTCATCCCTCTCCTGTAGAAATTTGATGTAAAGTAAGGTAAGCAGCGGGCCGCGATGGCTCAGTGGTTAGAGTGTGAATTTACTGACCGAAAGGTCCGTGTTTCGAACCCGACCTCTGCCTCTCGACTTCCCCTGTCTGGGCTTGGGCAACCGGGCAGTATCCCAGCTCTCGTGCTTTCTTTGGGTGGCATGGCAGTTAGGCACCGAAAGGGTGCTACAGCTGAACAAAGGTAAGCAGGCTCACGGGGTCACCATTACAGTCGCTTGGTTGGTTCGTAAGCTATAAGCAAAGAGTGACTGGTAGTCTGACTGGTGCCAGCACTTATGAAGGTGAACAGACAAACGGCACAAAGGTGACTGTTTGCAGGTATCTAATCAACCAAGGGATCCTTAGCTCGAGAGCTGACACCAGTACCAACACCGGCGCAACCAGTCGCGGCAGCTGAAGAATCAGCCCAATTTTACACTTGCTAGAGTCTAGATAGCGAACGTGTCATAAGCTCAATTGCTGTACTTTGGTCTTGAATTTGGTTTTCAAAAATGTGGTAAACGCCTACCGAAGCGTTGGTTAGCCATCGCTGATGGCTCCAGTACTTATTGCTACAGGGCAATGGAGGAACGGGCTCTGACAAGTGAAAATGAAAATGCCGATATGATCCGTGATGCGCAGTTGGTCACTTCTTTTTGTGTCTGATTGGTGTGTCTACAAATTGGCTCCTCGGAAATGAGTAAATGAAATGAATTGGAAATGAATTGGAAATGAGTAAATGAAATGAATTGGAAGTCAAGAGAAAATAGGGGAAGTCAGCAGCATGTTTTCGTTTATCCATTTTGCTTTATACAGCTAATAAGGCACAGGGATGATACCACAACGCGCGGCCAATATTACATGGAGGTACGTTTGTGTTGTGCGTAAGCTTAGGTGCTGATATGGAGACGAATTAGGGTCCTCAGCCAATGCCTTCAGCTCGAAACCCCGATGACAGTGTAACGGTAGAGTCAGACTACCGCAGTAATTTGGCTTTTAATGAACGGATTACTACACGTTCGACTTCCCTTAATCTGGAAGGCCAGCTGACTGTATTTGTCCCTGTGGTAGCGAGGTCTCTGTTGATTGCGTATGACATCCTCCAGTATGGTTCGGCGGCCTGCTGAGGTGCGCAAACTGACGCACGCAGATCAGATCCAGTCTGTTCGCGACTGATCGTGGAGTGTAAATTAGGAAAGCACAACTGGGGAACTCAGCTTGATCTTAACTGAGCCACTCATCCATCCCTGTACTGGACTTCCTGCAAAAAGCCGCCTCTTTTTTGTTCTGGAACGGTATTGAGGTTACCAAAATGTCTTCTTTGTTGTGACTCTACTTATATTGGGTTTTTGAGAATTTCCGAAAATCCCATTACCGGTTTTTTTCGGGCTCGTCGAGTGAGCTAATTCCAAAATTCAACAAATTTTACTTCGTACTTGACCAGCAAACTGGAGCGGGTAAAACCGTGGGTACTGAACAGCTTAATCTGTCATCGTTGTTATGCATGATATCCCAGTTGTCTCTTCATTTCTATTTTAGTTCCATTTCCGAGTCGGTCAAATCTGGGATGTGGACAAAGGTTGAATTAATAGCCCCGTCACCCCTATGGTATGGGTCACTGGCTTAATAGTGTTCTCCATTCACAGGCAGGTGATGAAAGAGACCGAGTACTTTGTGCTGCAGAAACGGAAAGAGAAAACTTCCAGTGGTTTGTTGGGATTGCTAACAGGAACAGTAGAGTCGATTTTGGATGTTTCGGTGAGTGTTCTTTTCTTTGCCCATTTTGGTTTTGATCATTTTAGGTACCCGTTTATCGTATTGTCATGAAGGGGGCGGAAAAATCATTTTACTGTATGTCCTAGTCTCTCTGACTTTTGTATTCCCGATCATAGTGGTCGCTAATTCAAACAGCGAGAGGGAAATAAACAAGCACTGGAAGTACATCATGACGAAGCTGTGTCCGCAACTGCCGGATTTGCCTAAAGATGATGTGTTCGCGTTTCTCTTCCACAAGTTTGATTCACATGCAGCCCGCTACGTGGAGATGTATGAGAGTAAGTATGGTTACAGCATCATATATCTGATTCTTTCAGGAGACGATACAATGCCACTGAAGCGGGCCACTGTGAAGTTTTTGAGAATTTTTGGATTCCCACCAAAAGAAAAGCTTGTTTATTGTGAGTACCGATCATCTTTTAACACATTGCGTAGACTACTCCTGCTCGTACTTTCGGGGAAAGATTCCGCAGCAAGGCTGGTTATATCTAACCATCAATCATATGTGCTTCTACTCTTTTCTACTCGGGATCGAAACCAAAATATGTGTCCCCTGGATTCACGTGACCGTGCGTTACTCAGTTTTTCCTCGCATAACTCATTTGTGGCAGGCAGTTGAGCGGATTCCAGGACGTCTTCCAGGTGGATTTGTTTGCATCAAGACACCTGAGAAATCCGTGAGTCATTGGCTTCTCCATTTTGCTGAATGAAATTGGTGTTTGTGATTATCTACCCTTTCATTTTAAATCTCGAAATACCTATTACACAAACTGGGAAACACCACTGGTTACTGAGCCTGACAAATATGATTCTATCATGCGGTTAATGATGGCTTTGCACAAAAGCCTTTCCCTTCAGTGTAAATCTATCTCATTCAACGGTTTCTCAGACGACTACTGCAACTTGACAGCAACGAACCGACTAGCTATCGCCGTCACCATCTTCATCAGAGACGATAACTTCAGTGTTGACACTTCTGCTTCACTGCCGCACAACGGCAGAGTTTATCTAACCATACATAAAGCTTTAAAGTGAAAAGAAGATGAAAGAGCGGTTGAGGAATGAACCTTGTGCTGGCCTATTTCAAGCATCATGAGGTGCCTACACCTCCAAGCGTTCAATAAGACAATCTAGAAAGAAACGCACAGCGATCAGCCACCATTTATGGGGTTTCCAGCCAAGCGCAGTGGAGACCCCGTTCTGGAAGGCGGACCGCAGCTGGTACTTTGATGTATGATATATGCTATATAGGATATATGATTTATGGTTGTTCAAATAAACTCGATTCCGACTGTCTGTCGTGCTCTTGGTAGCTGCGTGATATAAGAAACTACCGAAAAGAGGAAGAAGCAAAAGCATCATTTTAGAAGCCAACCAGATATGGCTCGGTATTCAGCAATTGCTTCATACTCACTAGGTATAGAGTCTTGGTACGGAACGTACTGTCCTTGAACACACCCCAAATATTGAAGGAGAGGAACTGGGAACTCGCATCACCCCGATAATACTGTGACCATCAAGCCCCTTACGTGGATCGTAAACGTCCGAATCGCGTCTGCTAGCTTGCGTCACTTCTGGCGTCCAAAACGTATGAAGGTTTGTGTACACCAGACTTGATTGTTGTATATTTTGAGAACTCGCTTTCGCAAGTGGAGGATTTGTGGTGCCTTTGACCACTGGATTCTATGAATCGTTGTCACACGGGTGTTGCTATAATTGACATACTAATGATGACGGTGAGGATAGTCGGCCGGCTTGGAATCTGAGTTGCATTGTGGTCTTATTTCTTTGTACCTGATTGGTTCGTTGGATGCCTTCAACGCTATAGTTCTTTTCCTCCGTTGCGATTGGGCCGTTTCCTTCTTGCCTCGTGGTCTGACTTCGTTCCGTTGGATCGGTTGATTCGATAACCGTCTACTTTTAGTAGCATTCTTTCTTTGGTTCGATTATTCCATTGGCGGTCGCCCTCACATTAGGTTGGAATCACCATGGCTTCTTCCTTAGGCTCCACTTGGTAATTACAGGACACAGCTATTGGTCTGCCACCACCGGCATCCAAACCTTTTGACCAATTGGCATGTAATCTGAGGTGAATTTAAAAAAAAATAGGACTTGGTACAAGATCCAGAAGATCAACCTTTAAGCAAATGAGTTATAAATTTTAACAAGGCGTTATACCCCCGAAAACGCTTGAGTTTTAGTGTTGAACGTCATTGTCTCATCGCAGGATTTTTGAAACAGTTCGCTCAATGACCGTATGTTATCACCGGATTGACGGAATGCTGGAATTTTCGTCTCTCAGACACCGGTAACTTAAGGCGTTCATTTCTTCATGCGACCATTTGCAGTTGTTAATCGTTGTTACTTTCTTTCGACTCTTCCAGTATCATTTTGGAATATTTATTCGTCCTGAAGAAACTTTCGAAATGATATTGAAATTGGCAAACTTTGGCGTTCGACAGTGAGTTTCAAGTGATTGCATAAGTTTGTTCCTTTGGTTTTATCCGTACCATTACAAGTAATCAACTACGTATCTGGGTTGTAATAAATCTTTTAACCGATGCCGATGCTGAGTCTACTAACTAAAGCTTGTTGCTACTTGTAAATCAAATGAAGAAGTTTAAATTCTGAATTTGTCATCCCTTGGACAAGAGTATCATAACCAAATAACTACTAGAACACCGTCGTCGTCACCTAAACGGGACGCTCGGGAATGTTTTTAGAGCATTATAACGGGGAGTGAGGTGTTCGCTGAAACTTCAAAGAATTGACGGTTAAAATCAGAGTGTCAGTAGCGAGGGAATACTTAGTGCTGCTACTGAGAAGAAGCCTTTGGCTCCTCTGTATGTTCGCTCGGGTTAAATGAGGTCCAAATCGGCGTCAAATCTGAATGTATTGCCACAGTTGATTGTCTGTAAACCGACTGGTTTTTGCTCCTATTAATGTTCGGGTACTTTTCGAAGAGTTCTAGGGGAACGTCATTGTCAGTAATCATTTTTAGCAGCTGTCCCTGGACGTCGTAAGATGCTTGGGCCCGTTTGTAACATCAAAGACTGTCACTATGGAACATCAGCATACTTGTAAACATCGTGAACACACATCTTATAGCTTAAACTGGACCAGTTTCGTACTCCACTTATGCCTACTGGTCTGCTAAGGCGAACATTCCTTCCTGAAAAGTATTTTGAATGTACATGTAAGTGTATACGATATCCGTTTTGTATCAGGTGAAGTAGGCACCAAATTACTGGATTTGTGGTCATCTTTAGACACTCAGGTGCCGCATCAGTTATGACCAGCTGGCAAAGTTCTGAGAAACCTCTGAGTTCTCATGCGAGTCTGATTCAAGGCTTGATAGTTTCGGTACGCTGCTGTTTGCTTTATTCTGATTCAGTTTTAGACAACTTGATTTGCGAAGTCAAATGCTGTCTAATACTTGCTCAGGCATACGGTCCAAATCGGTCACAATGTACGTAGTATACGATCTGTTTTATGCTGGTCGTTACAGAGTTTACGTTGAGGACTGCTTACGCAGCTCCGATTTTGGGCTTTGGAGATTTCAGTTGTTATGCTCACACTTCCATCCCAGGGTTTCTGCTTATGAATGAGTTTGCTCAAATCCAAGATACTCAATTAACTGGACGAGTCTGCTTTTCAAGCCCTTCGTCCTATGTCGTCTCGGCATTTAGCCCGAAAGCTATTGAATCCGATCAGTTGGTTGGTATAGCTCGCTGGATTGGACGGTTGAACCACTGGTCCATGCGTTTACATCTCCAGAAATCGACCATGCATTTATGCACACCAACCGGACTGGTTGTTTTCAGTTGGGTTAAAACCTATGGTAGTCGACCACGTATTTTTTTGTACGTCGTTGCCATCGATTTTTCGTTTACTGACAGTCACTTGATACATTGACTTATTGGGGGCTCAAGGTGATAGCCACAGTGAAAAGTCATCAGTTTTCGTGCAAACGATGTGTATACTGATTTACATAGTTTTGACAAGTACGTCGACCAAGCAAGTACTGTCTTCTCTGCGTGATCCCACGGAAATTTACAACATAATGTATATGTACGCAGTAACTAAGACAGAAGGTTATTTAGAAACAGAACAAATTAAAGTTTGTGACTGTATGGTGCACGGTTTTCACCAAGTAAAAATTATAGGTCAGAAGGTCATTGTCAACCGGTGAGCTTGTTTCTGGTTTGCAACTTCAGTCGGTCAGTTTAGCTTCAGTGTTTGCATACGTTGTTTTTCCACATAGGGATCAGGCTTATACGGTTGGATGGACCTTGTCTCCGCAGCAACAAGTAGTCGAATAGACATAAACGCTGTTTACATCCTATGTTCCCCGTCTTTCTGGAAAGAAAGTAGATACATCGTTACCATACAGAATGTACGACTGTTACTCAGTTGAGTTGAAGGCCATCTTTTAGTTTGAACTTAAAACAGCTTGGGTTGTCCGAGTAAGAAATTTTCAGATCAAACCATCGACTGCCATCTTCCGTTGGAGAAGCTAGCTTACGGTATCTCGTAACTACCCCAGTGTCTGAGCGGTTTAAAATTCCGTCAGTGGTTTTGGTTGTCCCATTTTACGCGATCGCTTTGTTGACCTTGAAATCTGAGATTGCGGGTCCACACGAAGCAGTTCAAATAAAACGTCAGTTGCAACTCAGTTTGATTGGTGGGCCTCTTCCATTGTGGCAATTCTGTGGCCGGAAAGTCTTCTGCCGATCAACCTTCCGTAGTTGCCTTTAATGTCCAAATGGAGTCCAAATAAAATGGAACCTTGTATCCAGAGAAGTTTGGAAAATGGCCAGCAAATTCATAGGTGGTCAGCATTTTGGACTTTTCTAAAATCCCGCATGTTGTGTCAGAAGAGAGACGTTGACTCTCACCGCTTCTTCACACTCTGTCGATCCACAGGATCTCCCACCTTCATTTCAACACTCACTAATGTTGTATATATTTAATTGGGGCAAACTACCCCGACAATGTGTGTCTGTCACCTTTCCATTCATTTGTCCGGTTGGTGAATACGCCGCGTGACTTATGAAAGCCTTGCTGATCTTGGGGTGAGATGGCTCAAGTGGTTACAGCGCGAATTTTCTGACCGGAAGGTCCATGGTTTGAACCCGATCTCTGCCTCTCAACTCCCCTGTCTAGGCTTGGGCAACCTGGTAGTATCCCAGCCCTCGTGCAACCTTCGGGTGGCAGGGCAGTTAGGCACCGAAAGGGTGCTACAGCTGAACGATTGTATTGTTTTTGTTGATCTCGGCTGAAGTGTCCAGTGAATTCGCATTTGACAGTTATTTGCGAAGGACCGTTTATCGAGTGACTCTGTAGTGCCGCGACTTAGTTTTTTTCAAATTGACCGTGAACCGATGGATCACGACGAATCATATAGTTCTGTTCATTCAGTCAGAAGGACAAATTCAGATATCATCTCTTCGTTTGGGTGATGTACTCAGGGCAAAAGTGAAGTTTATTCCTTCATCTGCGGTATGACTCGCCGGAGCTTGCTTTCTACTTTGTCCTCTGCAGACTGCTCATCGATGATTGTTACAACAACCGCGTACCTTTTCCGTTTGCTCCGAGAAAGTGAGTTTTTTGCCTCGCATTGTCGTCCGTTTTGTTTGTTTATCGGGTAACCTCCAGTCAGCTGACTCAGCAGGTCGTTCCCAACGAACTTGTCAAACAACACTCTCACTGTGAGGTAACCACTTCTCTTGTAGAAGTGTTGAGACGGGCTGCCAGTGTGCATTTGCACTTCATTATTTTCAATGAATGTCCTGCTTTATTCACTGACACCCCATGAGTGGAATATTCCCAATGGTCAAACCTCGTATGAAAAGGCCTCGTCTTTCGGCCTTCAGACCCTTCATTCAGGTCAGAATAGAAAGTAGGATTGGCATCTGATCACTCTAAACCACTTCCATAAAGTGGTCAATTGTATCTGTCCCTGTGTGATTCCATGCGTGTAATAGGGTGCAAGTTCAAGCAGATAACAGGACAGCATGGTTCTAACTCGGGGCTGCACTGACCGTTGGGTTCATTGAACGATGACGGGATGCGGAACGGCTCCAACAATATCACACACATAATACGTCTCCCGGGTCATAGATTCGATAGGACCTCATCGCTAAATGAGTTCCAAGCAGGATGAAACACGTCTTTCAGTGTTAACATCGTCATCTACTGTCAACAGCTCTCTTGTTTATTTGATTTCACAGACTAACAACATCAAACGAGTTGGTCGCTACAGCCACGGCGAGATTCCTCTATAGGCCCTCTGTTGATGCATCACGATCTGTTTGTAAGGAGCTTATACGTCATATTGTTGCAGTCACTATCTTGGGTCGCATCTAGTAAGGGCGCGATCCTATCATTAGTAATTGTTTCAGTGGCCGGTCACTTTTTGTGCTCTGATGAAATTGGAATTTGTTTTTGGGGTCATGTTCTTTGGTTTTGCTCTTAAAGGCCAGCATTCTTTGGCTACTTAGTTTTCAACACCTCAACGCCGGAATCCGAAAGGATGCCTTCTCACGCATCAGTCATCTGTAAGGCTGTGGTGCAAAACCGCTTCGTGCACACAGGTTTAAACAACCTACACTGCCAATTTTATCTGTGCTCTTCTGGTCTGGCAGGAATGCTAGCGCCGAAAAAAGACACTGTATGGAGGTGTTCTGGTGTTGGTTGCTTTGCTTTGTTTCTTAAAATAGAGCTTATCTTTCAAAATGAGCCTTGGTACCTGTCAGGCAGTGCGAAATTATTGACCGTTTGGATTCATTTACAAGCCATTATTCAAATAATGGATTGTGAGTCAGTTCACAGTCCTGCTCTGTTTATGTGCTTTGGGAGACCCGTTGGCGCTCGAAAGTTGACTAGAACTACGAATTCCGGTTCTAGTGTGTCTTCACAGCATAGTTTTCTTGCCACCTCAGTAAGCCTGTGGGTCAGGCTGCACTTCTGTCGCAGTGGATCGAAGCTTTTAAGGTTAGCGTATTGCCCTTGCGTAGTCAGGCAGTTCATCTATCCGTACACCAATCGTTTCAGTGTACCGTCATGGTTCAAACCCCACCTCTGCATCAACTCCTGTCTAGGATTGGGCAACCTGGTAGTATCCCGGCCCTCGTGCTTCCTTCGGGTGGCGTGGCAGCTAGGCACCGAAAAGGTGTTACAGCTGAGTGACTTTTCTAAAAACATCCTGGCTTAGGCTATGGCTGTCGAATATCGCGATCCAATTTTCTGTTGGCGAAGTGCTTTCGCATGTTGGATTTGCCACTGCCAGGCGCCCTGCGTTTCTGAACTCGGAACCCCAACACAGGGTGCACTGTCAACTTCAAGTCATCGGAGATTTGAGCTAGTCGTTTCTTGACGAGTAGTCGATGTCGTCTGTCACCCCGTTTCTTCGGTATCCATCGTGCTCATTAAATTGTGCTGAATATCCCCTTGCAATTGTGTGACTTGAAAAGACCTTGTCCAATACATATTCTTCATCTTAATAGGTGGTTCTTCTGTATATTTGATGGCCACCTATGGATCAAATTCTTCCGCCAATTGGTTTCGTAACAATCACCTCTCATTTATTTAGTGAATTAACCTGCGAACTTAATATTTTTTAGTGGAATGGCAAAGTCGGTCCTGGATACTCAGACGGAAGTAGCTGGCTCATCAATTTGTGGCATTTAATTTGACGCTGCTTTTGTGTAGTTCCTGAATGTCTTCTCATTTCAAAAGCCTGTTTGGTTACTGCCTATTTCCTTGCAAACCAGTACTGATCACATCTCAAGTCTGGAGGACTTGAGGACTGGTGAATCTTTGTAGACGATGTTAGAGACACTTTTCAGCTACCAGCTGTGCTGTCCTTCCGGAACGCAGATGGTCCGTAACCTGTAGGAAGCGGCGTACGTCAGTAGCAGTTGATTAGGTACTCAAAAGTTCAACATCAAATTGACGCGCTAAATGTTAAGCATACAGCTGTCCTTGAGAAGTTAATGCTAATTCTGCCTGTGTCAAGTATCGTGTCAATCCATCACGGTGGTTTATTTGGGAATGGTGATATAGGCGTCAACTATAATTCTGCTTGACAGATGTATAGGCTGAGTACAAATAAAATGTGTATTGATGAAATTAACATATACACTCAACTGCAAAGGCTGCTGATGTCTAGGTTTGAAGTACTGACGCGCCCTACTTATTTCATGATCTTTATAGCTCCAANATACATAACTACAGCACGTAGCATGCCACATGGATATCTATTTCGAGCGCCGAAGCATATCGAGTACACACAGGGTACAGTATTAGGTGGCCTATACCGCAAGAGTTCGTTATCTGAATGGGATAGTCAGCTTATTAGGAGTGGATGGTGGACAAATGGCGTACCCTATTGTGTAACGATTTCTAGGAAAACAGCCAATTCCTGTAACATTAAAGATCTGATCGTTTTCGGGTAACAACCTTCCCCTCACGGGTGCCGTTTTCAACCATGTGGTCATACCAAAGGGGCTGGTGGTTACAACGAGGACCTTTGCATAAGGGGAACATCGTTTTAGCAAAAAACCATGCCAAAAATCGCATCACAAGAAATATATGCCCGAATTCACCACAGGGTGTCAAAACGGGTTTTTGAACGTTTTTGAACGCGGAAAGCGAGTATGCAGCATGTTCAGATTACCCCCGTATCTTTGTTCTGTTGTTTTTGTAGGCTTCTGCCTAGGAGCTTCTCTCGTCTTAAGGTCGATTTGGATGCACGGACCAAAAGCGAAGCTTATCGAGCAGCGTTTAATTTGCCCTCTGACGAAGATTTGGAAATTTCTGTGGATTGTGAGCTGTGCACTCCATATGACAAGAGCTCTGTAGCGGGAAGACTCTTTCTGTCGAACCGTTTCCTCTGCTTTTACACTTGGGTAAGTGGGGTACATATAGTGTGAGCTCACCTTATGGTTTATACACTATTACGTCTGTCTACCACTGAATCTGTCAGTTGGGTTGTAGTCGAACTGGTGAGTTTGTTCAATATGTTTGATCCTCAGACCAAACGCGCCAATCTTCCCTCATCAAATTGATGGCGCCCAAATTAATAAGCTAGACAATATTGATTTTATTGGTTAGCGGCAGCCGTGCAATACAACTATGTCTTCAGTATATTCATGTGTTAAGTCCTCCATAACACATGTACGCTCATTCAAATACCGGGAATAAATAGTTTAGCCATGTGTTCCTCAGAATAAACGTTGTGTTGGTACTCTGGCGTGCTGTCGATGCCCAGAATTTGATCTATGCATCGTTCATAGCGAATCTTGCTGCATCAACGTTTCGATCCCGGTACAGCTTATTGACAATGGAGACATGGACAGCCATTTGAAACGCTGTCATATATTGTATGTTCCTGTTTGGACCAGAAGCCTTGTAATGGTGGGTAAACGTTACAAACTTTATCGCGCTGAACCATCCATTTTTCCGCATCATTGCCTGGTCTGGCATTGTTCACTCCATTCCGATTTCTTAACCCTACACATTCTACCAAGTTCTCGTGGTCAAACGAGAGGATGTGGTTTTGCCAACTATCGAAGATGCTGATGCAAGGCTCTTCATCAAGAATGTAAAGTCCTGTTGGTTGGTTTGAGTTGTTGCTTGGGATAAATTCGTCGTGAATGTGATAACTTTATCGGGTACGTGCTGACCTATGCCTTTATTCCGAACCAGTTGTCTATTCCATATCAGAGTCTGCAGCTGCAGGCCACCGATTTCATCATGAAGGGCCTTTTGTTCAAAGGTTACACACAGCCATGTCATACTGTGACCGTGTGAGGATTGTTCCCAATGGGCATATGAGGGTACGGAAACCTCCTGACGGGGAAACCGTCCACTTATTGCTCACATTAGGTAATCTAGCGGGATTTAGGTGATCTCGGGCTGCATTATCCTCTATGCGTCATGGGGTTAGCTTTGTTCCTGTTTCTCGCGGCATCCCCGCACCGGAGTAACCGGCCTCATCTAAAACCTAACCACAAAAATACGACTACCCGTTGAAACCTCACTGCCCGCCAACAGGTGATACCTTTCATGTGGTGGTTGTTTGATTGCGCGTCGAGTAAGACTTGCTGAAGAATAAATCAGCATTAGGAATACCACAGAGAACATGTGTGCATGTTAAACCATCAATCACAGATGGCAACTGGAACCTTTGTTCTCGGGATATACAGCCTCGTGGCTGACGAATTGATTGATTCAGAACTATCCTAGCAGCAAAACCAATAAGAAGCCACAAGTCAACTTTGAGAGAAGCCGCGTGGTTTGTGTGAGTTCCGACTGAACTGATTCTTTCCAAACCTCTGGGAAATCAACGTGGGAGTGTGTCCTTGTTGGCGACATGTACTGTCATTCTTATGTTTGTTACTCAATCTCGTATTTCCGCGGTCACGAATTTCACAGCTCTGCACTGTTTGACCATCCGTCAACTAGGCCAAGCAAGGCTTCGTTGTCGTTTCCGAGTCCAGTCAGCTTCGTTCGTCAAATCCTTCCCAGTTTGTTTCATGTCGTATGATCAATTGTCCCGGTACAGGTGTTCCCGACTTTTTTAGGTTGCTTGGTGACCTAAACTTCCTCTTTGAATTCAAAGAAGCCGCGTGTGTGAGTTCCGACTGAACTGATTCTTTCCAAACCTCTGGGAAATCAACGTGGGAGTGTGTCCTTGTTGGCGACATGTACTGTCATTCTTATGTTTGTTACTCAATCTCGTATTTCCGCGGTCACGAATTTCACAGCTCTGCACTGTTTGACCATCCGTCAACTAGGCCAAGCAAGGCTTCGTTGTCGTTTCCGAGTCCAGTCAGCTTCGTTCGTCAAATCCTTCCCAGTTTGTTTCATGTCGTATGATCAATTGTCCCGGTACAGGTGTTCCCGACTTTTTTAGGTTGCTTGGTGACCTAAACTTCCTCTTTGAATTCAAACTACGAGCACGTTCATTTGGGGAGCGAAATACCTCAGTGGTTAGCGCGTGAATTCACTAACCGGAAGGTCCGTGGTTCGAACCCGACCTATGCCTTTCGACTTCTCTTGTCTAGGCTAGGCTGGGGCGGTAGTATCTTGGCCTTCATGCTTCCTTTTGGTGGCATGGCAGTTACACACCGAAAGAGTGCTACAGCTAAGCGATTTTTGTTTCGATTTTTACTCGTCCATTTGTAAATTCAGGATTTTGAAATAAACTATGAAGCCCCAAGAATTGTCATAGGTTTCGTGGCTGCGTACAATTTCTAAATTAGGGTTTATGATGTCAAAGACTCACTTGGTAGAGTCTTGCTAACAATTATTCGCCTTACCTTACGAGGAGTAAAAACCCCAAGTAACAATTCATGGTCATTTTGTCTCTTTTTCGTAGCAAACCCCTGACAGTGGATACCGGTAAAGGCACACGGGAGTGTCACCTGAATCTAGGCGGAATAAGCTGACTATCATAAGCGAGAGATTAAGCTAAGCCAACGGAATCATGTTTTTGTCATCTTATCTTTCCAGGATGAAACTTCGGTCAAGGTCATCCTCCCTCTCCGGGAGGTACTCGTTGCGGAAGCGACGGATACAAAGAACGCGTCTGTTCATGGTGGAATGGTTATCACAACCAAAGAGGTAAGAGCGCTGATGAATCCCAACACTTGTTCCTCCCCCATTACCAGGATTTGCTCTTGTTGGTAATGAATTTCTTAGGAGCCCTCTTCTGTGCCAGACTACGTCCCTATTTCGTTTTCCTGATGGTGGAATCATTTGGACTCATGTAGATTTTGCTCATCCCCACGTGTTAAATCACTCGAGCTGAGTGTTCGGCGTGCATGTTAGCAACCACTGTGTATAGATCCGGCTTTGTGATCATTGGTAACGCACGGGATCATAGCTTTACTTTCAGCTGAACCTGCGAATTTTTAACTCACATCTCGGATATTTTTTCAGGCGCTACACCACTGCTTTCGACTGTTAAGCGTTCCATCCTGCCATTATGGTGAAAAACCGGATCTGTGGTAGTACAGACAACTCCTTCATATCCAGATCACCATCTGGGATACGTCAAAAACGAACACTATAAAGCATGCGAAAAATTCTCCGATACTTACGTTTGCATCGCTTATCTGAAAGTCCCCTTGTCCCGGCACAGTTTCTCTTTAATTCCATGGGAAACTGGATTCCAGCTTCGCTGTTACTAACAACCATCATTACTACTTATTCTCTGATTCGCCTGGATTGAAATCAATGTCGTTTGGCATGCAAAGCAGGCTTATTTCAGCGTTCCTACGTCTCACAGTCGCTCACTCGCTCAATCATGATTGAAACGTTTAGAAATGGTACTCATACAACGTGCATAGAGTCCTTTCACGAAAAACAGCAGTCCGTATTTGTTTCATTCGTTATTAGGAAGCGGGTCTTATTTCGGTGATACCTCGATTTGTTTCATTCAGCACACATGTTCAACCCTAAATCTAGGTTTCTTCTGAGCAGCAAGGATGTGATTACTCCGGGAAGCCTAAGTTGTATCTGTTGCAAGATTGTTGAGGTTGTCAGATTATTCGCTCCCGTTCACACTGAGCTAGTTCGAATGGACTGCCATGGATCATTTCAAGACATCGCAATAAATACAGATGAGCTAATTATTCTGCTTACCAATTTATCTTCGAACTTCGCTCACTCGTATTTTTCACCACAACTAAAAACCCCCGAGAACACAAGATTTGAATAAACTTTGACTGGGTACAGCTTAGTTTTAGAGGAGTTCATCCATTGGACCGGTCTCCACTTCGCCGAAGATCCCATTGCTCTAATAATCTTCTCGCCCTATATGTCTCTTTATTGAACGTATATGTCATGTGAAAAACCCGGGTGTTGGTTTCTGCGGGTCTCACGATTGATGGGAAAGTTAGAAGAATTATTCGCTCTACTGATTTACTCGCAGGCACTTGATCTCCATAGGCCGGGAGTATGATGTGTCCACCCTCCGGTTGGCTTTATTTTAGCTCGCTTAACAGTCCAGAAAATTGCCTCGTCCAACACCCCAGAAGATGCGTGGAATCTCTCTTCCTGAAGCTGGTTTTAGAGCTACAGTTTTGTGTTTTTAGGGGATTTCTTAGGCCCCCGCTCAACACCGTTTGGTGCTCTCTGTATCCCCAATCGCGTCTTCTTCCGATGCGTGACAAGTGTTAAACCTTGGGATTTTTGCCAAGTGCCAGTTGGGGTTAAGGAATCAGATAGCGCTTCGAGGCGCTATCTTTTTTCGACTCCGTTTTTCGTAGCCTCATACCCCTGGATCATATCCATACTTATGTGGCACTTGTGTTACATGTCGGAACCCCCTAGACAGCCCGGATTGATATGTGGGTTTCTGCAGTTCAAAAGTGAATGTAGAGTTTTCTTAGATTAATCATCAGCTGATAGTGACACTCAGCGGGTTTATGCAAGCAAACTACCAAGCTCGACGAACAGATCAAACCCACCTGGTCAACGGCCAATTAACGCATCCGAACTGCCACTACTTCGATTTATTCCCAAGAAGAGTACGTTTGACATCTTCACCATTCGCCTGATCACCTGTGCTCCCTTGGTTTCCACTCTGGTTAGCTTGGGTTCTCCGTCCTGTTTCTAGGGTACTCGAAAACATGGCACACACCGATGCTGGTATATTCCTGTGGTGGTTTCACCCTTTTTCAAGACCGATTTCCGCTAAGGGATTTGAGGCAACGGTAAACCACAAGCGATATTTTGATGAGATTACGTGTGTTCACTTAATTTTGCGGCACCTCATCCAGCCTTCTAACAGATAGCACACACATATGGACTCCCAACCAACTTGTAACCCGAAATTAGGAGCATATATACTGCGCAGGTTCCGACCATTTACGGGGTTGAATAATGTACAGAAACGGACGAGCTTAATGACGAACATAATGAAAGATTGCGGATGGAGATTAAGCATTCAAAATGTGTTCACTAACTCCATAGAGGAAGGGGTTTCACTGCCATTTATTTTTGAAGATACGAGTATGGTGTCAGCTACTTGACCTCCATGTCTGTGCCGTTTGTGTATTAGGCAAGCGGTATGATCCCATACTCCTAATGCCATTCATTTTCTTGCTAGAACCATCCAAACTACTCTCTTAACAACATCCTAAATACTATACTTCCCTCCGCTCTATCAATTCAACAGAACGTTTTCATTCTTAAAAACGTTCAAAAACGTGAAGAAATCGTGGCAGCGATTGATCGGTTTTTGAACAGTCCAAAGAAGACGCCTGCCAGTCGGTAAGTTTCATTGGGTTGGGATTTTCTCGATCTCCACTGTTAGCCACATAAGCTACTCACTGGAATCTCTGGTACAATAAAAACAGCTTGAATTTTTCTAAAAGCGAATCCACTCACCCCCTCTCTTTCTAGCCGTTCATCTGGTTTCTGAAGTGGATTTCGGATCAGACTTGTTGCTGGATGGTGTATACCAGTAGCAAGCTAGAACGGCCTTTTCGCTCACCGTTTTTTGCCACGTGAATGCTCTTTGCTTTTTTGTTCAGCTTCTCGTGTTCGTAAGGCCATTTAAAGTGTTCAGTGCCTGGAACTGGTCGCGAGTAATGGGGAATCGACTAGCTAAACGGCTTAGTGATTGTTGATTGATTCTCGGCCTGAGCGATCTCACTCCTTCATTAGCAATAAACGAAATAACATCCTTTCAGAGAGGTTCGATAAACAATCGTTGAATTTATTATTGTTTACCAAACCTCTGAAACGATGACTACCCAATCGGCCCCAAACGTCTACGAATTGATTAAAATAACACCTGATAAGTCCGCTAGATCCTTTCTGCAGATGTGCTCTTAAGGTTCTTGCTCCTTATGAGACTGTCGGACATTCGATCTGGCCCAGAATTTGTGCTCCCTTAAAGTTGATGTGTGTTATTTCTAAATGACTAATGCATGATCACTTACCTTAGAGCGCTTAGGACGAATCACCTTTTTCCACATCTTACCTTTTTATCCGGAGTCGGTGCTTGCCGCACAGATGTTTCTTCTATACGCGCAAGCCCTCCTATCGATTGGCTTTACTTCAGGTGCCCGCACATCGGCAAGTATGCTAACCCACCACCCTATGAGAACTACCGCAGCTCAACAGTGTACCTATATTCAAAAGGGAAGCGCGAACACTGAAAACTCGTGGCATTTGCGTGGTAGCTGTGGTATCAAAGACCTCTGTAGTCCTATTCTTTGGAGGTTGACTAAAAGATACAGATCCGATAGTTCATTTCTACGAGTGAGAGACAGCAAAATCGAGACTTGAAGGCCCATTAGCTTTGTTTAAAATTGTTTAAGAACCTCTTGGGTATTACCCCTTCAATAGTGTGGCGGACGAACTTCCTTCTTTCATAAGATTGTTCAGCCATACCTTCTATTTACCTCCTCGTCATATCTTCAGTTCCATTTCAGGGTATTGCGGTTCCACCAAGTCACTCCTATCAACCTCTTCAGGCTGTTCTCCGCCCAACGCTTTGATAGATTGGGATCAGCAATCCGATGCATCCAGCTCCTTGAGTTCAACTGGATCCGGGCATCTGCACGAATCTCCATCCACCAGTCGAGCCAATGACCAACCGGGTCCTGCCAGTAAGTATTGTTCTCTTCATTTCTTCTACGTTCACTGCTCGTGTTGACTTTTGTGGTTCGAATCTCCTGCAGTGTCAAGTTCATTGGTCTGGCGTATTTCACAAAGCACAGCACTGTAAACGCAGTGAAGGATCTTGCCACATCATATGTCCGGACTGAACACGAGTGCTTTGGAGCATTTTGTGTGTGGTACGACGTTGACTGAATCGCCCACCTGTATCATCAGGCAAGCTAACAAAACTATGCAGTCATAAAAGTGCCTGTTGTTGTGTCGCACGTTCCAGCTGATGATTGACAATACAGACTTTGGGGCGCTGCATTCATCAGATGAGCTGAGAGACGAAACACCTGGCTGATTGGTTTCCAGGATTGATGACATTGTGAATTCGTAGATGATACAACTTATAGATCCCATAGGTTTGACACTTATCGTACGTCCCATGAGGATTTTGAAAATTTGGGAATGAAAGCTTTCCCCCTCCCAGTTAGACGAATTTTCCCTCGAACTCTCTGCATTGGCCGAACCAACAAATTAGTCCAGTCACATCATCGAAAGGATCTCAAGAAAAACCTTACTTTAGCTACCACAGTAAACTTTCACCTTATGTGACGGGTGTTCCAAACATACTGGGTCACATCGTTTCTCACCCGAGGGTGCGCTTCCAACAGAACCCCCCTGATGTTTTTGCGAGATACTCTATGCGCCAGTTACTTTCCCAACATCTAGCCAGGACCTTTGTTATTCATCGAGAGTGCAGTTGATTTGTAAGGATCTCACCATCATTCGAGGGGACCTCAATGTTCTGTTGGGTGGGTATCTCTTCCTGTCCTGCTTGCGTTAATGCAGTACACTGATATATTTACTTAATCTTCAGGAAATTAGATGCGGTTTGGTACACAATACAAATGTAACCAGGGGAAGAAAAACCATCAATCCCAGAGCACAATGCTGATTTCTTTTCTAATGGTGATGTATTGTTTTCAGACCAGTTGTCGTTGAGACGACCACTACCATATTCATCAGCTGTGAGCCGTTCACGTGTTGTACGGGCGTTATAGCTGCCGCAACTGCGGTTGCCGGTGGCTAGGTAAACAGGACGAAGTAACTGTGCAGTGGCTGATATCTTTGACGCGTGAATCCATGATTTAATCTGGCGAGTCCACCAGACCTACCACACCGCAACTGCGGTTGCCGGTGGCTAGGGTAAATAGGAGGAAGTAACTTTGCAGTGGCTGATAACCTTGACGCGTGAATCCATGAGTTAATCTGGCGAGTCCACCAGACCTACCACTATTCTACAGCATCGCTGTTCAGCCAGAGCACTGGGCAAGTACCAAGTCCTTCCGGATGACCACTGGATACTCGCTGCGCTTCCAGAATTTCACCATCCTGTCCTTTACCTGCGAACTCTAAGTTCGGCTACACTTTCACGTAGTAATTCGCTTCGACATCCGCGGTGTTAAAATCTTTGATTAACACCATGCCCTATTTCATCCGGCTATCAAAGCGGCGAACGACATTGAGGCTTATTCCACATGCCGGCGGCTACCGGCCCAGTGCCGCCTATCAAGAAGTTGCTGATAGAAAGAAGGATACCCCCTGCCTTATTTCATCCGGCTATCAAAGCGGCCAACGACATTGAGGCTTATTCCAAATGCCGGCGGCTACCGGTAGTCACGGCCCAGTGCCGCCTATCGAGAAGTTGCTGATAGAAAGAAGGATACCCCTCAGTTGGGGGAAATCCGATCATCATTTCATTTTGAGAAGTTGGAAAATTCGGATCAACAACTATTTGTTGTGTAGGGTACGGAAGACATCTGTGCTTTAAACCACCGCGTGCTTTGCATCCTCGGCACCGACTAAAGTCTGCACAACGAACGAAAGTTTTATCCACTAAGTAGAGCCTGTACGACGAGAGAACGGAAGCTGGTGAGCAAATAAGTTGAATGAGGTGTTCCGAGTGTTCATTGGAATCTCTTCTGTGTGATTCTGCCTCTCGATTACGGAACTGTCACAATCGATTGTTCGCTGGACCGTTTCTTTCAACTTATGCAAATTGAATCTGCAGAAATAGTTTACTGATAAAGATGGTGAATGTGCAATACCTGCTGTGGATGGCCTCAAGCCTCGTACGTACTGGAACGTGTCACAGGCAGTGTTTGTTGGTAGAATCAACTGAATCCGCTATGGTTCTAGAAACCCATCGATATGGTTGTTGAATAGACTACGTAGCCTTACTAAACACCGCAAATGAAGCAACCGGAATTCACACACGATCGATTCTACCATTCTGTTATGTAAAATTACGCCAAAGCATCGCACAAACAAAGGTGTTTGTAACACAAGTGAATCGTATTCTGTATCAGCGCGGGCAGTCAATCGGTCAAAGAAAACTAACTATGAGCAAAACAGCCCACCCTGTTATTCACAACCTTCATGTCGTCTAATGGATTGAACACTTCTACAGATGGGCCCAAAGAAGCAAAACATGGGGCAGAGTGCGAATGCAGTCCAAAATCGAATTCGTTGAAATCCCACTTCGTTGTTCTATTCTGCATTAGACCAATGTCTTTGTTTTGAGTCTCTAATAAGATGTGAGCTGAAGCCTCGACGATAAACAAACTGTTTGTACTATTTAGGTTGCTATCTACTCCCACGTTGTCTCCATAGGAAACCTTCGCCGCCCAGAAATCGTACCTTATTTCGTAGACATGACCATCAGTATTTCCATATCTGTCATAGTACCTATAAAAATGCCATCGATTCGCGACTCGTATCAACTATGGGTAGACTATGATTTCGCCACCTATATCCAGCTATCTTATCCCGATCTCTTGTCAGTCGCGTGAGAAAAATCCGAAACCTTGTCTCCGTTTGTCTTTTGATAAAAAATACAATCGTTCGCGTGTGGCACCCTTTCGTCGCATAGCACACGGCTACCCGATCCAAGATAGGAACTGTCAAAAATGCGGGACTGTGTTCGGACAAAAAGCGTTCTGGCCTGAAAAAGTGAATTGTCTCAAACTTTTGCGATAGGCTGGTGATCGCTGATGAACTGGATTCAACAAAGCTTTTTTACTCTGACTCGTTTAGAGTGCATCGGGGCGAGGTGGCCCAAGTGGTTAGACCGGGAATTTACTGACCGAAAGGTCTGTGGTTCGAACCGGACCTCTGCCTCTTGACTTCCCCTGTCTAGGTTTGGGCAGCCCTCGTGCAACCTTCCGCTGACATGGCAGTTAGGGTGCATGATTATCTCAAGCTGAGCACGTTAACACCCCGTTAACATGTTTGATCTGAAATGCCACATAACATTGCTCATGGTTCCTGTTCATTTTTCAACCATCTGACCTCAGATGAGAATCTATCCACTATCTTTTTCCATTTCTCCCCCCAGTGACCGGACGATTTGCAATCTGTCAGTCAGCAGATGACTTGACGTGCACTACACCGACAAATTTGCTTGTCCGAGCAAATCTGTTTGCTACATCAGATGATGCAGAAGGCGCTCGGATGGCTAGTTGGGCAGACTATTTCGGATTGTACGGTTCTGGTATGACTATGTACAGAACCGATCGTCTGCGCAGCCTAGTCTTGAATGGGTTGCCTGAGAAACTTCGTGGTCGGTTGTGGATGGTTTTAAGCGGAGCGGAAAACGAGGTAGGCGGTCTGCCAATCATGCTTTACTCAGACCATTTTGTAGCGAGTTTCATTTGCCCGTTAAGGGAGCTAATGTGAGAAGTCGCGTGTGCTTGCTAACCTGAGTCGCACTCAGCTGTTAAGTGTAAGAGTGCGTCTATCGTCCTTTGTTGCGCCCACCTCCAGACTCTCAAATCACAGAGTTTCTAATCAAGCTACATCTAACCGGATCCTCCGGTCTCATTCCATCACATGAACTTGTCACATGCCCTCCATCGTACTGCCGGAGTCCGGTTGGTTAGCCAAATATAGCCTGTTTTGTAAGGTCTATGATTTCATTCAGTGTACATAAATCACGGCCGACTGATTTTTACTGTTCGAGTCACGCTAACATAACCTGACATACATAAGCTGGTTGCTTTCGTACAATGTTCAAGCCCTTTTCCTGATCTCAGTTGTGTTCCGTCTTGTTAAACTGGCGAAGCCGGGGGTTAATTTGCAGTTGTCCGCCTTCTCTAGGTTATTCATCGCTACAAAGTGCACGTACGATCATAGCCAACACTGCAGCACTTCACTGTAAAAAAATAATACCAAACAGTAACTTGAAACGCTAAATCTCGAATATCAGTTGAAAAATGTTTATTCCGTAGTGACTGGAACTCAGTTCCTAAAGGTTCAACCATCCCAGGAAGGCCAATGGGGAGCAGCCGGACGAGAAACAGCAGCCCCCGTACTGCGAGTAGTCGTATTACGGGGCGATCTGTAGGTAAAGTTGTGCTGTCCTGTGCGATTGAAGTGTGAAGTTAGTAAGGCGTTTACCCAAGGTGACGCTAAAACCTTGTTTTCCCTGCCTGTCAATGCATATTGTGTCTCCGAAATACGCATAAAAGACACCACTTCGGTCGTGCACCTCAAGCCGATTGGGACGACCCCATATGTTCCGCATTTCACTCTTCGGGTATGCGGCGATTCTGACGCAATGGCTCGTAGTATCTACGGTGTGGGAGTTGCACTCACCCTCAAGGCTGAAAACGTCTTCCTGTACTGGGTCCCAGTAAACAGTCGCGTTTGCGCTGTGCGGTTTTCTGGCTTTCTGGTTTTCTTAATTAATTAAGAATAATGCAGGTCGATGAGGTAAACAGTCTTTACTTGTCATATCGGCTGGTGGATTTCGAAGGCCCAAAAGATGGGAAGAGCTTTCTCTGCAGGTAACAGCCACGCCCCATTTCAGTTGTTTCTGTCTACCGGCCAAAAGAAGGCAGGTGTCGGTGAAACAATATGCAAAAAAGCCTAGCACCAATTCACTCCCTCAATCGCCGTCTTGAGCGACAAGTTGAGCACTTCAAAGAACAGTTCTGCTAATCAACTCCAACACAACTTCTGGAAGAACCCAGTGGGTCCGAATGAAACATTGACACCAGCCCATCATCAACAAGAGCAATCTAGCGTGGAATACCAATACTCAAGCATGATAAGGTACCTAATGCGGATGGTCTGTACCCCACACTCTGCTCAATGGATCAGAGACGTGGCTTGTACGTGCAGAGGACATACGAAAGGTGTCAGTGTTTGACCATCGGTGTCATCGCTCCCAAGGCCTGGCTGTATTTTCCACACACTGGAATATGAACCAGTAGCGTGTTTATGCATGGAACTGTAACGCCATAACTCAACGGATTTGCAAACAAATTGTTCCACTTTTGGTTGAGGTAAATTTTACCTCATTGGATACGATAATTTGTTAAGACTACTCCAAGCTAATCGCCAATGCCTGTCTAGGCCTGCTTATGTGATGTTCTTTGATGGTTTCGCTGCCCAGTACCCGTTATGATCCGCGTTCATTATATGAGAGCTATTGTATTAGCAGATTTATCCTCGTGACTGTGCTCGGCATCATCTGACTGTCAAATGTGTTTGGAAATCAATGATGACCTCGTCAATTATACAGTATGGATCGAGGCGTCGTGGTGTTGAATATCGTCTTTCCGGCACAGGTGTTTTTGGATGTTCTGATATGGGAATCGACCCGGATTTTTTCATCTCCCTTATCTACCTGACGCCTGTGTGACGTTGAAGGGCTTTTTCGTGTTCGAGATACTTGCTAACTGCATCCCTCCGCAGGTCGCGCGTTAGTTTGCACCGTAGATCTTGCATGAGCCTCCTAGTTTCCTTGGTGCTTCATCTAACGTAAATACTCGTGAATCTTGCCTATCAGGTGAATTTCTTTACGGTGAGCTCGCTATTTCTTCGTCATCCTTGTGGACACGAATGATTTGTTAATTCATGACGGACACCAATGATTCATGTGCTGTCCCATATTTAGGGCACAATGGCGAACTTCATTCGTCGGTGAATACTAATCACCTTCGACATTAATAGTTTTCTGACCTTGTAGAATCTTTGTTTGCATCCTCCGGCATCATCGCACGTTAAATTTACCTCTACTCCTGTGGGCGTTTCGCTCCTTTTCAAAGCTTAAGAGTGTGTTTCAAGAATTTCCTTCTCCCAAAACGAAAGTGTCGATAAATCGAGCGAACGATTGCTTTCCGCCTGGATGGAGAATGAGTGCACGTAGCAGCGTTTCACCATACTGGTCGAGACGACTAACGTTCTTATTTATTAGAAACTCGTTCAGCTGTGCATTCTACCCATTCTGATGATAAAAAGTGGAACATATGAAACTATTCAAATTCTGAGTGCATGTCCGATATAATTAAAATACTGCTTCCTGCGATTCCTCTTCCCTTTTCAAGCTTTGCGTCCATCCAGGATATTATGCGGAACTTGTTCGTCAGACGGAGGGCCGTGTTAACTTCGTTGTGGAAGAAATTGAAAGGGACTTGCACCGGTCCCTTCCTGAACATCCAGCCTACCATACGTCCGAAGGCATTGCCGCCCTAAGGAGGGTGCTTACAACCTATGCTTATCGCAATCCAAGTGTCGGTAAGCTATGTTTTGTTTGTCCTCCGTACGCCCTTAGAATCCCATTTTTCAGAATGTTCACTCTTCTGAGTGAATCGCCCTTAGGCTGTGTACTATTTGAAGAGGCCGATTTTAGGCTGTAAGCTACCTCGTACACAAACATTTCAATCACAGCTCAACAGTCACTCGTACGCAGCAGTTTTTGACCGGACTGGGTTTACTGGTTATTGCTTCCATACTTCACTGTCCACCTCTCGGTTGCTTCCTTTCAGCACATGGTTGGGCTAAAAAAAGAGGTCTGTGGCGCAGACGGTGTTCGAGCATGCGAAGTACGTGTGTTAGCCAGCGTAACCCATAAAGCGTGAGTAATTCATCTATCGTGGGAGAATTCCTTCTTCTTAGGACCATGTGGCGTACCTCGGCATTACTAATCTGATGTTCCTACCAGATCCGACCAATGCTTCGGAGATACCAATCGTCCGGGAACTACATGGAACCGTACCCTTAGACATGACGTTGAGTATGTAACTTTGTTTCCTTCGATGTACAATATGTACCCGGACACAGACTGGTCAGTTAGCCCTATAGTGTTCGCCTCACCAAAAGGCATAAGAAATCCTGAATGGTGGTTACGGCTGGCCAGATCACATTCTCACCAAACTTCAAAAGCTTTTGGGGATGCTTCCGTTTGCATACTTTTTCTGCCTATGCTTCATGATAAGCGCCGTCCCGCTCACGTTAGGTAACTCCGTGATGTTCGATCGCATTAAAACTGCTAGTTAGAATGGAAGGCGTCCGTGCATCACATTTGATAAATTGATGAACTACGGCTGTCTCATGGATGTTCGCCTTCATTGTGGTCTCCCTCTTCTGTTCCGCAAGGTTATTGTCAATCGATGAACATCGTAACCAGCGTGCTTTTACTGTACTGCACCGAAGAGGAAGCGTTCTGGTTGCTTACCGCGATTTGCGAACGTCTTTTGCCGGACTACTATGATAGCCGAGTCGTCGGTGTCCGTATCGATCAGTACATTCTACGGGATCTGCTGGAAGAAAATATACCCAACATCCTACCACCCTCCTCATCGGACAGGCGTTTCAGTAAATCTACGGACTCCGACGGAACCCGGAGTTCGAGGTCTCACTCTCCTGGTGCAGGATTCATCGGATGTGAAGATTTTGAAACATTGAGTTCGTTAACTGCAGCAACGAGAAGGCCTCCATTCAGACAACGAGGTGACACGCATCCTTCTGATATTGGCTCGGAGTTGATCAACATGTTGTCCATTTCATGGTTCCTTACATTGTTTATCAAGTAAGCGACTGGATGCCAACAGAGGACATGCGGTTCTAGTTTTGAGCACTTTTAACGGCGTTTAATTCCTCGGAGTCCGAGCTACTAATGACCATTGTAGGACATCAGCGAGTTGAGTCGGGTAACTTAAACCATGTCATATTCATTTCTAGTCTACTGAAACTCCTATGACCGAAAGCCAAGCGGCACTAAGCATGAATAAATGGCTTCACCATTCACCAGTTTGTTTTTCTTCATCAATGCAGCAGTCCCAACCTTGGAACTCTAGCCGTACTCAATATATGGCAAAATGATATCCGTGGGCAAATTGTTTCACGAGATATAGGTACAGTTCGCCCTATAGAACATGAAATGCCAATATGTGAAGATCAGGATGGACCAAATTCCATACTACCACTGATATCTGTGGTGAGGGAGTCTATGTTTTCAAGCCGTACAGTACAACAATTATACTAGGTTGCTTTCGAATACAATGTCGCCTTATTTTAACTGCTCCATGGCAACAGGATACCAGCACTAAATGTTGGTGCTTGGCTGCCATGCAAACATGAGGAGAAATTTGAGGAAAGAAATGTTCGTATTAGGAACTAGAATTGCGGAAATGGTAGTAAAAAAACACCCCGAGAACGGCTTTCTTCCCGACACCCCACAGAATAAAAACGGAAAAGGCCCACATTAACTCCGGATGGTGGACCTTGTGGTCACTATTATAATGGCAATGTTGTCGTTCTGTTATGGCGTGATCTCTTCACTTTGATCCTTTTGTAAACTATGACTGGAGGTGGATAACAAGGTCTTCTTGTAGATGGTGTGTGTGTGTTTCCATGCTCTCTTCGTGACGCTTTTTCTAATGTCCAAGCAAGGTCTGCCCAACTACTATCCTCATGTTCACATCAGGTGATGATTACCGTATGCCTCCAGCAACCGTTATGACTCGCTTTTTCATTATTTGGAAAAATATACGTTAGTCTGTTCAGAGGGATTGTATGTGCTCAATCGGCTTCTGTCTTCCTACTTTGCAGCACAATGCCATTTCGTTGCGCCGTGTATATAATGGATTGTTTCTTTTATGACGGTGCCAGGGTAAGTATTCCAACACATCGTTCTTATGCCCTTCATAAAGCCTTGTGTTGTAATTTCTATCGCATATTTAGCTGTATATTCAAATTTGCCTGATTACTGAGTTGAACGCACAGGTCGAATGTTTTGTTCGATTCAGCAATCTCCTTGAACTAACCGTTCAAAATTCTTGCCCGCACTCATCGCAGCAAACATGACCTGATTGTGGTTCCTTTCTGTGGGAGTGAAAGACAATTCTCTGGATGGGGCGGACAGCCAATGCGCACAATTAATGTTCGGCGGTGCCCTATGTCATCATCATCATCGACAGCATGACTTCAGTGTTCAACACCGATGCTTCACTGCCGTTCAGTTCTTAGACTAGTTTTGTCTTTTTTCCAGGCAAATTTTTCGGGCCGGGCTTTCTATTTCCGAAGTGGTGTACACAGAAGGGGCTCACCCATGTCCATTGATTAAGCGAATTAGTTGAAATTCTCGATATCAACAATTGCCCTCCATTAAGCAGTAATCCACTGTGTATTATGGTTTCTTCGTTTTTGGACTAAGAAGTACAGTCCAAGTTGTAGAACAGCGTACGGGGTGTGGGATAGAACTGTGACAGCTCGAGGTAACTACTGTTTGTTTAATTGTCTACAGTGCAAACATTTGCTTATTGGTGTGTTCATATCAACATGATTTGCGTCATTCAGTGGTTGAATTTACAAAATAATTGCCTGAGCGACTGCTGCTGGATCCGAAGAGCGAGTTCAGCCGAACGGCTCCAACGCTAGTGGACTGATTCCAACAACGTAAACCTGAAAGCTAGTTATTATCGTCCGAACTTATTAATAAATCTGATAGATTTGCTTGTTTTGTCCTTTCATTGTGTGTTTTATCTGCATGGGTGTTGGTTGTTCGAATTTCCCGTTCGTTCGGAAGAAGAGGTTGACGTGTTTTCTTTTATTTAATGTGTTTTGAACAGATGCCGTAAGGGACAACCATTCACCTTAGATAAAACTAAGTCGTTAAACACCAGCGTCATTTCGATGATCAGACGTCTTACGACACAAGAGTGATCATGCAGCCCACAACCTCATAGGTGAGCTTAAACAGTAATCGGTTCTGACCGTTAGGCTGTTTGTGCTCTAAACTTTGCATTAACTCGACTCCAGCGTAGCTCTACTTGTTCCCCAGAGTCTCGCTACCATGGTTTTCATGATAGGCTACATCTAATTCATCGCTTATTTTACTATTTGATAAGAAAGCCAATATATTACATTAGCGCAGTATTCAAGCTTCAAATTGTTCTTGTCCAACTATAATATTTCGTTTTCTGTGCTCCGTATACAGGTCATTTTCCAGGTTGCCCTGGAGATTCTTCGGAAACATGCTGACCTGATCGAATCTTGTCTAAACAACGGTGAAGAAAGTGAAATAATGGGTCGATTGGGGACCTTTTTTGCAAGGCTGGGGCTGAGACATTTGACCGAATCATCGGACTCAAATTTATCCAGTCAACTTCCCACATCGTCGCGTTGGGAACACCAAGTTTTATTCACGAAACCCACCGAAGTAAGTGACGCGTCGACAGACAGCGGGGCGACAACATTGGAAAACAGCCATGGATCCACATGCTCCATTCGCGAACCGGTGCACGAGTTAATTGCAGACGCATACACCAACTTTCCAATGGTAACCAACGAACGCATCAACTCGATGCGCATGCGAAGGCGCCTACCTGTCATACAAGCACTTAGCGAAGCTGCTTGTCGCGATGTGGTCCGAAGCTTGGAACAGTTCAACATACTACCTCCAAGCGAACTTACCGAACTCTTTGTGGTGTTTCGAGTAAGCGTCTCATCTTACCGGTATGAGATTGTACTTTTTATTGTTTACATAGCTAATTAATCGATCTACCTCTCCAAACTCTCTTTTAATTCATACTAATGCTCCCATCGGTCGAAACGAGTGGAACAAAGTAGGTCTAGCATCCCCTCTTGTTTAGGCCACCTGGTGATACGCTTCACATGCCTACAAAAGTTCAGCCTCATCCGTAATGTATTTGACAATCAACCTAGTGCGTTTCGCAACCATCTATGCTATTGCGCAAACTGTGCTATGTACGAAAGTGCTTTTGCCGACAACTCCCATTCAGAGACACTTTAAATTGACTTCGATTTTACGAACCTTGTGTCTGTGTACGTGAACTATCCTCTGCCCCCTTCGCCTTGGTACAATTGCCAGTTTACAGTGTCAGTGTGCGACTAGTGCGTAAGTCGGCCTTCGTGGCTATGCCTGAGATGTCACGCATTTACTGTATGCATTTGTGCCCATCTAAGAGTAAACTTCCGTTTCCTCCATGGCAACTAGTCATCCTATCCTCTTATCTTTCCCAATTAAATTTAATAGTTACATTCTGGAATTGTTAATAAACCTGAGTCAGGACCGTAATTCCAGCCGTTTCCACCACCAAGTGTGGCCGGTTTTGACGAATAAGTACCTGAGGTTAGAATAACGAGGCCAGGAAATTTACATGTGAGCTGTCACGTTTTTCCTCATCATTGTGGACGTCTTATGTAATGTTGTTTTTGGACCTGTGTGCTCGATCTGCACACGGATACCGTTTCGTGGCATTCGAGTTGCACTGCCGGATCGCGTGCCAGTTGCCGTTTGACGCAATGTTATGGATACCCCGATATACATGTTGAGTTGTAGGGTAATCATGTGCCATCATGCGTTCTTACACATCCACGCAAACACGCTATGAATTTGTCACAACGTATGTATGTCACCACCGGCGCCTCGAGTTATTCTCAGTAAACAGGTGGAGTATGATTGCCGGGTCCCCATCCGGTCTATCTCATATCCTAAATCTCTCATATCCTGGAGTGCGATTTCGTATCGTAGCGTGGGCTTTTCCTTCTGCTGTCATGGCGTAGTAAGATACGGAGACAACACAGTGCAATGCCAAGTGTATCCATCAGCCTTTCAGGTCTTGACAGCCATTTGAAGTACTCTCCCCTCCAGGGTGAGAATACTCCCGGAGAGTCCACAAAATCGTTCGCCGTCACCCTACCCTAGAAGAGGCATGGTGTCTTCGGGGGGATTACTGCACATAGATCTCCCAGGCAACTGGCGGAGCTGAGCTCAGGATACGTGACTTATATCCACCCTGAATATTGTGCAGGAGCTTCATCGTCTCAGTTGAACATCTGCCCACAGAAACCTGCGTCACCACTGACTTACAACTTATAATGGAAGTATGGTCAGGCAATTCAATACCCACCGCCTCATCTTAGCAGCAGTTCAAATACTTGAAGTGAGGATCAAGTGATACGGCTTTCACGTTCGAGTACACAGATACTTGCGTTTCTCTCCAACTGTCTCCCAACTCCACGTGGCAATTTACTCGGATCTTCTAAACCCTACACTTTTCAAAGGTCTTGAAGCCCTGCTGACAAGTCTGACGAATCTACTGCGGAAGATTTGAGACGAAAACAGAGTAACAGTGGAACGAAGCCCCTCAATAGCGATTCCAGTCTTCAAAAATGGCGCAAGAATGACATGCGAAAATCATAGTGCCGTTCGCCTGGTATCCGTCTCATCCAAGCTGCCCAGGTTCATCGAATATCGGGAGATAAAGGTTCGAATCAAGCTGGGTTCCCCTCTGGCCGAGGATGCACTGACCATATTTTTACTTTAAAACAAGTTCTTGAACAGCGCCAATCTTTCAAACGCCCCTCACTGGTCGTTTTTCTAACTACTAAGATGTCAGATACGTATCCTACAAAACAAACTCTGGGCCAATAAACGCACGGATTGTGAGCATTCCACTCAAAGTATCCAGAAACACACAACCGCTGGTGTTTGGTCCATATGGGATGAACTGCTGATCAGCCTTCTGTGACAACGAGGAACTATATTTCTTCGTATGAGTCTTCTTCCTCTTGACAAACTTTAACGCTGTGAACTATACGCTATGCTAGACACCGACCAACAATCTTCACATATGAATCTCTCAGGTGCACAACAGACTAGCAGCTCCGCAGAAAATTTACACGACTGATGTGGGTTGCGTTGGCTTTTTATTTATGTAAATTGGTCCGCTTCGTTTCATCAAACCAGCATAATGAAACTGAGGTAACACATGGAAGCACGTGCGGTAGTTGTTCTGTTAACGCCTGAGTGTTATTTCATGGGGTTAAAATGTGCTATGCACTTACTGGAAGATTTCTTCAAAAATTATCATGACTGTTGTTCGCATCAAGGTTGTTCTTAATTAGGAATATACGTGGCAACCAGTTCTTTTTGGAGTTCTCTTCCATATCGATTTCTCACAGTAAAGAAATACTGTTGTTGAGTAGTTGCGACATACATGATTGGAGTTAATTGAAACTGATGAACAAAATCATTTGTTTCAGATACTACACAACAATAAATTGCCATTAGTATCAGCTCACCAATAAGTCGATCCTTGTTGGAGTATGAACAGCGTCGCGTCACTTGTCCATCTTTTCTTCTTCTGACAGGAACACTACATCGCTTCACGTTACTATCGTCAACATCAGGTTCAGCCTGCAACATCTCACCATGAAGCTTATAATCCCAATCGCCCAGCTTACGACATGCATCGAATCGATGCGGAACAATTTACCGGTCTGTTCGCCGGTCTCGTTCCTTGGAATCGAACCGCCGCGCATTTGGCTATTCCATGCTTTCGGCTGTTAGACCGTGACCACGACAATCTTATCAACTTCAGGGTAGATTGCTAATATGCTAATTTGATTCCGTGCACATTTCGCATATGCGGTTTTGTTGCATTCTAACTCTGCTTCATTTTTACCACCACAGGATTTTTCTTGGTTAATGGCTTGTATTTGCGGCTCACACTGGGTTACAAAGTTGCAACTCCTCCACCTGCTACACCAGCCTCCTGTTTGGCAATCGTCATCCGCCGATATCGATTGTTCGATGACGACTCGGCATTCACGGCCCAACTCCCACTCCTCTCCAACCGGAACCACAGCTCCACCGCACATCATTGCAGATCAACCCGGTGTTATTTCTGAACGCGTGCCAACAGAGCATGAGTCGAGTGGGTCATCTTCGAGTTCTGACTTTGATATGCTGGAGCCCGGTTTGGAAGTTACTGAAGAAATGTTCGTCACCTGGGATTCAGACCGAGAATCTGACCGACTGATGGACGCCAGCGAACAAGCAAGTACAAGTAAGGAACACGTACACGATGTCGCTCAAAGCAACAGAAGCCGATCAAGTAGTCATTCCTTTATGTCTGGATCACCGTCAGTGTTGCACAGAGATAACACCAATCCCTATCTTCCCGTTTCGGAAAATATGCCTCCGCTAACACAAGAAGAGTTTGTACGCTTGCTCAAAGTGAGTTGATTTAGTGGCGTTTCCAGTAATATCGTGATTCTCGTTTAGCTATGTCTAGCTTCCATGCCACCATAAGGAAACATGAGGGCTTAGATACTACCAGGTTACGCAAGCCCAGACAGGAGCAGTCGAGATGCAGAGGTTGTTTTCGAACCACGAACCTTCCGGTCAGTAATTACGTACCTTAATCACTGAACCATCTCAATTTTGTAATTTTATATGTATATATATATATATATCGACTTCATCGCAGATGATTTTCGTGAGACTTAATGGTGCGATTTCTGGTCCCTGAAGCTTCTGTGGTTGTGCAAACCCGAAACGGACCAATTCTAATACGCTTCGGTAGTCGGCAAGAACCATTGTTCAAGTAAACAGGCGAGTCTCATGAACAAATACCTGGAAGTTTTACATCAGTCGCTGCATAAGTGTTGGGCATGGACTAGTTTCGGATCGGAAACAATGCGATCAGTTCGGAATTCGAAGAATTCCTTGGAGAGCAAAACGGGTCCGTGAAGGCCAATAGTAATAGACGAATGTGTTGTCTACTAATGAACTCCAACACTGTTGAGTCTAAGGTGAGCCGAAGAGCACTTGTACCTCTAAGCACGCAAATATTCTCATTCATTCCTCTCATACAATCGCTACATTGACTTCCTCTTTTGAATCGTTACTCCATGCCCCGCCCCCTACGTTTAGGGCTTTGATAATCCGTCTTCCCAAACTTCAATACCTTGCCAAAATCGACTGCCCCTGTCCTTAAGTGTGATGTCAACAATAAAATCACTTGCTCCCTACATTCCCTTGGTGTAAGCTTCTTTCGACCAACCTCTCAGGCAATTTCGTTTAATCTCCCGTCTTACGTTACTGTTCGTTTAGTCTGACCGCTGCTTGTGTATTCAATTTTAGCAGTTAGAATTCACCGATTGTTTCATTATTGTTTTTCTTGCAGACTATTCACTGCCTGTTAGATGCCTCATCTCCTCAAGAATCAATCTTATTTGATGCGGTCGCACATGTGAGTAGTGAACTGCAGAAAACTGCGGAGGCCCGTCGATCAAAGTCCCAAGAAAAACACAAAGGCTCCGAGCAGCCAGAAATAAAAGAACGAGGCCGCCTTCCCAGTGACCTCAAACTCGTAGATGATCCGTTATGGAGAATTGGTTTCGCCGAACTACGGGACGCATTCATGCGCCAGCCACAACTAATTGCCCACTTTTCAAAACGAACTCCTGTACTTTCATTGTGTGCACAATTCCGAAAACAACTCCACCGTCGCAAATAGTGAAGACCATCAAGTGCAGCGTTAAAGCCACAGTCAGTCAATCTCTGTATACTAATCATTTACTCTGGTTCAGTGATCATTCCGTCCAGTTTGACTGTTTAATTTGTACAGATTGTCTTCCTAATTCCAGCTTGTGATTTGCCCCCCATTTCATCCTGTGTCCGATTATGTACTCCAGTGGGCCGTGATCGTGTCACCCTCCTTTCCGGGTTTTCTCATATGATCTTTCTCTGTATCCATCTCTATTATTTCATTTTGTTTCAGATGGCTTTGTTTTCTTTTTTACGCATAATGCATACTCTGAAAATGACTGTTCTTCCTAGTTCTAACAGTGACAGGATTTCAGTCGATCATAGAAAATCGATGATATGAATGAACATTGTGGGGCAGAACATGACAAATTCTGCAATAGCAGTTCGTTCGGTCATACCACCTGAAATAACAATGCATAATGATATGGTCGTCCCACTGAAACACTTTTGGTGCACAGCTGTTATGCCACCTGGAGGGAGCACGAGGGATGAGATACTACCGGGTTGCCGAAGCCTAGTGAGCAGCAGTCGAGATTCGGAGGTTGTTTTCGATCCACAAACGTTCCGCTCAGTATGTTCGCATCTTATCCACTGAGCCAACTCGACCTCTGAGGAGCAGTATCACAAGCGAATAACCAGCACAATTCGATATCTACCCGTGGGTCAATCAATGAATCTGTCCACGTGACACTCATCCACCTCATAAGGTACTAGGTGTTTTTGCAGACATTCCAAACGAAGGGTAGAGGAGCAACAATCCATTTCTTTGATCAATGCAAATTTTACCAGAAAATATCTGGCGAAATACACTAACTTGTCAGGTACCCTGGTGTTTTGAGCAGCCTTATAGGTAGTCTTGCATTAGGGAAGTGTCATGGAATGTTTTCACGAAGTGTAATTAGGAAACGGGAGAATTTGTTTGAAGATAACGTTTGGAATAGTATGCAGAACTTTACGTGACCAGAATTCAGCAAGCCGATCAACATCGCGCATGTGATTGCCTTGATACAGCCTCTCTAATGGCAACACGCACGGAATCATGTGATTCTGTCGACGAAGAAAGCGGATGTGCTGAACGAATAAAGAAAATCGAGGGCATGATGGCACAATTGATGTATACCTCTGTTTCTTTTCTGTAATTGGTGTCTTCGTGGACTGGTTGGTGAATACATATGAATTCAGGAATTAAACGCTGTGGGGTTGTCTGTCGGCGTATCTCCGTTTAGAGAGTTTGTCGCGTGCATACAGGGACGGTCTAGCAGCTGTTAATACTGTTGATGTTGCACAATGGTACACCGCTGTCTCCCTCCAGATAGAACGACTGAAGGCACTCGTCGAAATGCTTTTCAGAGTAAACATGCGTGTGGTGAAAATTGGTATGGAATTCATCCAGACGAGAAAACACAGGATGGTGTAACAAGTCTGACACAGAAGGCGAAAGTGGACTCAGATGGATGAACTGTTGACGCCCGGAGACGACTGTTTGCTGTGGTGGCATGGACGTGTGTTCCGCCATAGAATTCAGTGGGAAAATGGTGGGAATGGGTTGAAGAATGTACTATATATAGTCGCATTTCGGTGTACGACCGTCACTTTCAACCCAGCAGCAGGTTAGTTACTTGGTTTTGTGAGACAACTGGAGCAGTTGGATCTCTGAACAGTTGCCTCACATCCGGCAGAGTATGTCAGCATGGCGGACAGTCTCGTGAGCAATGAGCGCTTTTCTGGTTGAACAACGATATCCCCTACAGACGAAGTGCATTTCTCATAAGGTTGCTTGAAAACATCATAAACGAGAGGTTCAGCTGGGTTCCAGATGAGTCTGCCGCAAAACCAAGTTTGTTTGCAAATAAGTGTATTTGGCTAACCTAATCCCCTCATTCTGAAGAACGACCAGAATAAGATGGTGGCGTCTCAAGACTAGTTCGAAATTCAGCGCAGAAGATAATGGACCTTTGTTGATCAGATACTTGCAACTGACATAGATTATGATCGCGAAACCCGAACCAAGCCATCCGCCTAATAAATGTGATCCAAACGAGACGAAGCAAAAGTCGACATGGATGAAAAGTTCGGAAGAATTCAGGGGCATTGCACTGACTGGTGTACCCCGGTTCGGTTTTTCCGTAAAGCCTTACCCAGCATCCATAGATCTCATATTTGAACATACAGTTCAACTTGGCTCACGATAGAAATATACCTGCTCACATTTAAACTTGCATACTATGGGGGCATCATATCCAAATGATCATGCCATTAGAACACGATCAAACGCAATTGGGTTCATAACGGGTTGATAGCTTGTGGGTGGCTTCCCGTCCATAGCTTTGGTGATGACTTGTCAACTTAACTTACTGAACTCCAGTATCCACGACGTGTTTGATGAGAATGTTAAATGATCCATTCAACCAGAACATGACTCATTTATGAAGGTTAACCAAATGAAAGGATTATGATCATTCTCGTCTGCAGTTTTGGTTAATTCCAAATTGAATTCTATACTCCTTCAGGAAGCACCACCTTGAAGGGTAGGTTTTGCCAACCAAGCTTTGCGCTACAGACAATATAAGAGTGCGGTCAGCACAGCGTATCTTTTTAGGCGTTTTGTCTCCTTGACCAACTCAACTCTGTCCCTTGGATCGTGTAGTAGGGGAGAGACAGTCCACTACCGGTTTTGCCCTTCTTCGGGCTCATCAGGTTGGTGCATTCTCAGGAAACTGAATAAAGTTTGATATAGCTCAGCGATACCGACCGGGAGATCTGTGGTTTGAAACTAGCTTGAGCAACTCGATTGCATCCTACAGTTGCAGGAGTGGAGTGCAATGAAGGTTAACCAAATGAAAGGATTATGATCATTCTCGTCTGCAGTTTTGGTTAATTCCAAATTGAATTCTATACTCCTTCAGGAAGCACCACCTTGAAGGGTAGGTTTTGCCAACCAAGCTTTGCGCTACAGACAATATAAGAGTGCGGTCAGCACAGCGTATCTTTTTAGGCGTTTTGTCCCCTTCTTGACCAACTCAACTCTGTCCCTTGGATCGTGTAGTAGGGGAGAGACAGTCCACTACCGGTTTTGCCCTTCTTCGGGCTCCATCAGGTTGTGCATTCTCAGGAAACTGAATAAAGTTTGATATAGCTCAGCGATACCGACCGGGAGATCTGTGGTTTGAAACTAGCTTGAGCAACTCGACCGCATCCTACAGTTGCAGGAGTGGAGTGCATACCAAACCATGAGGTGGAATTATCCAGATTATCCAACGTTTCTTTCGACGGATCCGAGGAGAGCTTTGTGGTCTGTGTAGTCCATACCTGTGATCGAACACCCTATGCTTATATCGACGAAGCAGTTGAAGAGAAAACGAGCAGAATAGCCTCGGCTGACATCATTGGATGCGATGAACCACAGTGAGAGCGTATGGCAAAATTTCTCGAGTCCACGAGAGGTTTCACGCAGAGCTTAGGGAGGGCCAGGTGTTTCTGATGAGACTGATTTACACTGTAGATATGTCATAGTGCCTGACGATCGATAAACTCGAAGAAAAATTTCAAGTCAAGGAAGACCACCACTACCAGGTACTATGAGTAGTTGATACTCCAGCGTCTGTCAGGTGAACACGTGGTTGAAGTGTCTATTAGCAGGACGAAACCTATATTGTTCTTCGTCGACCTGCTCTTCTTTGCCTTCCGTCGACATTCTAAGAATGAGATTGGGAATCACGCTCGATGTCACAGCCACCAGGCTAACGCTACAATCGTCTTCACACAATGTTCGCGTACTCTGAAGATATAAAGTTGCTGCGGAGTATAGTCACTTACCTCTCACAAATTGCCAGGTGGGTATCTAGCGATTCTCTGCCTTCTTTGAGGATGGCGGTCCCGATGTCTTCAAAAAGGATACCCCGCAGCTCATTTCACCTGAAGGACAATCGAATTTTACATTTCAATCATCAGGCTGTATTGCATCGAGCGGCGGATCAGGTCAGCTAAATTATTCTTCGAAGTGCTCGGCTCCTCTTTCCAATCGACGTCTTCTTGCGAATGAATTACTAAGCCATATCTTCATTCGTTGTCTCACGGACGCTTTCCTTCTTTTAGTTATTCGATCAAAATTAGTGTACAGAGCACGGATTTTCCCAGCAGAAAAAGCCCTCTCTACCTCTTGAACCCCCATTGTCTGAGTCTTAACTTAAACTCTTCGGAACTCAGCGCTTAAGGGATTTGCATGCGCCTTCATGCTCTTTACCAGCCGGCAACGGATTACGACTATATCTAGGGGTCATTTGACCATACCATGGCGGTTGGACAGATAACTTTGAATACCAACAGCACCGATCCTTTTACAGTTTATCGTGCTTCATCTACGTGCTCGTTATCAATATTGTGTTGATTCATTGCACAGGACAGTTCAGCTAGCTCAGATAATAATGTTAGGTTACGGTAGTTCTCCAAAAATGACAGCTTGGCAAATATCCTGGCAATCTGCGAGGACTTGAAGTAACGCGAATTGACAGAAGGGGGGCCTTCAGAATCAAGCCGTGCCCAGAAAGAGCGGCGGCTTTGAATCGTGACTCACCACCAGTGGTTCATAGCCACCTGGTCCAACGGAGTACGTTTTTTTTACACTAGGTGTTTACCAGGTTACATGTTGCAAGCGCTCGTATTGATAATTCCGAATCGACCACTTAGGTGTGGCTCGAAGGGGTTCACATGACCGACTGCGGACTTTATGCCATCCCCAGGGACGAGTGTCACAAGTCCTTGCTTGAGGAAACCTGATAAATCCCAAGTGAATAGATCCGTCTCAGCGCCAGAACAGCGATCCGTTGATTCGTACTGTTTTTCATATCGTAGTACCCACCTAATTAGAATCCAATCCATCAAAGCGCCTTTGACGTTGGGGCTGAGTGCAACTCTGGCGCCATAGATCCCATGAGTCATCACATCTGCATGACTGGAGAGCGAAATGTGAGTTCATCCTTGGCACCAAAAGATGCATCACCACACTTGAAACTTTTGAGTGTGGCGTGTGCAATACACGCCCTAACCGCCGGAGGTTTTGGTTCTGGGCACATTCTGCACTGGACGACCTTTGACTCGCTTTCTGTTAGCCTGATAGCAGATTCGCCGGCTATTTGATTGGGTGCAAAGCCCCCAATAGTACTCGAGATCCCTTGACCAGAAATTCACAATTTGACTCTCTGAAAAAACAGTATGACAGTTGTTTGCTGGATTCATATATCACGATACATTTGGAGTAAACCCGTGGAGAATAGCAAGTGGGTTTGTATCGGTTTCTCTCTAGTTCATTGCAGCATTTAGCATGAAAGTAGGCTTGTTTTGCACTAATTAATACTGAGAGATCTGCCACTTTTGATCACATGTATAATACTATCGGTCAATTACCAGTTGTTTTTAAACGGGAACAATGGACCCGATCGTGTGAAGCTTTCAGTGTACCATAACCATCCCGAGCGTTAAATTGGTATAACGCTTTGTAAAAGCAGCTCCCTGGATCCTCTCCCCGACGGCAACTAGACTTTCGCTTGCCACATGATGGTTTTAGTTTGGATTCCCTACTTTCAAGCTAATGTAGCAGTTGTTTTTTTTACGGATCCATTTAGCTAATATTCTACCGCGTTCACTCAAAATCCTCTATCAATTTTCTTTTACGGTACAACGAACGATACGTATCCACAGACTGACGCGAAAAGCATACGAAGGCGCAAGCTCCCTCTGGTTGCACATGTATACCAACAGTCTGTTCTGCAATCCATGAATCTGCAAAATATCTAGCGTCCCTCAAACAATAGTCCGCACAGCTGTGGAAGGATATTTGGTCCCGATGTCAACCCACATTCAACAACCTATGCACCTAAACTGATAATCCGGTTTCACCGCAGAAGAAAAAGACACTCTCAGAAAATGAAAAATATAACCGCATAAAAATTCACTAAAAACGTAGTCGTTTCGCGGCCGGGATATCGTCTTTTCTGTCTGTGGTCTGAGAATCATCATTTGCTCTGCGCGATCGAAGGGATCGAGTAGATGCTATCGGTGTGGTCGAGGCGTTTGGACTGAGTAGAACAGATGTCTTCATTTGGCCAGGATCAAGAGGGTTCTGGAGATCCCGCTGGTGATCGTGTTGATGAAGCAGGCCAGCAACTGTCCGGTTGACCTTTGGCTGAGGAAGCTCGTCATCTGGTGTGGGGTAAGGTCGGTTGGCGAAATAGGGGGAAGCCAGGGCGGATCTGGCTGTGCCTCGCTTATCAGGGTTTAGAGCAAGTAGGGTCTCTAGCAGATCGATTAAATCAGATCCAGCAGCTGTGAAGATTTTTGAAAATGGTATGCCTGGACGATACTCAAAATGCACGTAATTTGTAAGTCGTCTCACGTCCGGCCACGTGTCGTCCGCTGGAGTACCAGTAATCTGAAGTGCGAAAAGCCCAGTTGTATACACATTGAAATAGATAGTGAGTAGATGATTTTAATGTGCAGCGGATGTGATAATAAAATAACTACTCAGTATCACAAAAACCCAAGAAAGATCAAAAGCTTCGGATAGGGATGAGCTAGTAGGTCGTATAAAAATCTGGCCACCAACTGTCTAGCATAGGCGGCAACAATCCGGAACACTCAACCAGTTGTAGTTGTTAATACCAATAATCGCTAGGATGTAACACCCTCTAGGTGCATTACTGCCACGCTACCAGGAGGAAACACCAGCGCTTAAACACTGTCAGGTTGCAGGAAGGCTCGAGCTTCGAACCCAATCTCTGCCTCTCGACTTGTAGGTGTTATCCTCAATAAGATAAGTTGGTCGGATACGTTAACATGATGCATAATCGGACTTTTGTCGGCTTCGGGTAGATGGTTACCGCCGTCACCCTAGTGAGCAACATGAATGGAGTTTGGAAAATTTTTCAACCTACACATCGAAGACTGAGGCAAAATTTTGACTTACTATTTAAGGCAACGAAACTTGTGCGCTAACTGATACTAGGCCGTAGGACACATGCGTTGAAGTTGGACAACTCACTTCATAAATTTTGCTCAACTGTGTCAAATCACAATCACCAGGAAAGAGAGGAGCCCGGAGTAGGAATTCAGCAATTATACAACCGACGGCCCACAGGTCAATGGCCACACCGTATTGAGTACAGCCGTAGAACAGCTCCGGTGCGCGATACCACCGTGTGGCAACCTGATGTGTCATTGGTCGAGTGGGTGAGCAGGCAAATTGACGAGCCAATCCAAAATCGCCAATTTTCACTTTCCCCTGAGAACTGAGAAATAGATTGTTCGGCTTCAGATCACGATGCAGTATCCAGCTGGCGTGAAGGTATTCAACTCCGCGTAATAACTGGGCAAAGATGAGGAAATCCTTGTTTACTCATTTGTGCGGGGTTAATAAGCCACGAGGCACAGAGGAATCATAAAATGTCCAATTGGGAGATCAGAAATCCAAACAAATATGATTCGAACCACAGGAGGGGGGTTCCGTTGTATGATAGACAACGCTAGACAAAAATGAGCGTCGCACTTAGATACAAGCATGCTCAAGTGCTACAGACAGTCACGATGGGATGCATTTACCAAAAAAGAAGTGCCAGAATATTGGAGCGGTAATTATAAGCACAAGTACTAAAAAGTGAATGTCATTCCACTGTGCGGGGTTGTTCCGAACTCAAAAGAACTTTGGATCGTCCATTCCGACAACATACAGATTCTTCCATGGATTTTTGCAATATATGTATGTACTACTCTAGTGAAAAAGTGTATTTCGAAATGGATCAAAGTGGACGCAAGATTGCAGGCATAAGCATGGTTTAGACAGACAAGCGATGAAAGAGATGCGCGGTGTCGTAGTAAATTAATTTAGGTACCTTTGATCGCAGTTACCGATTTCCGGGTTTTTATGAGGCCACATTGGAGATTTCCTATTAACGCGTGTATGGTTTGTCAGTGCGCATAATAATGACGTCTTGTTTTCTCGTACGGTGACGAACTGTTGGCAATCACAATAAACAGAACAACAGTCACCTGATCAATACTCAGAGCTACAACTAACACGTGATTTCGCCGTATCATCTGCCCTTGCAAAAGCCGGTTGTTTTCAACGTACTGAATCCTATTCCACTGGAGACACGCCAAAGTCTGCCCAGTTTGTCACAGCCCTATGCGTTTCATGAAAAGGATGACAAGTCACGGTAGAACCTGTCCGTTAACACGCAACGGTAGATGACTAGGGAAGATTTCCTACAGCACAAAATCGATAGTCGCGTGTTGATATTGACTTAACGGCTATGAAAAACAAACGTTCACCAAATGTTGCTACTCACCTGTAAACTGAGTGCTTTGATATGAGCCGGGACAAGAACCACAGTGTAGTCGTGAACCAGTGCCTCGAGATCGGAGGCCATGAAATCGAATACCATGCAAATGCACCGATCCTGACTGAACACATCGAGAACCGTGAGAATATTTGGATGATCAAGCTCCTTCAGAGCTTTTACCTCGCGAATAGCTGACAGATTCATTCCGTCCTCGACGACCCATCGGGGACCGGCTTTTACCTGGATAATTGGTAACGTAGTATGGAACAAAACAACTGGTAGCAGTGGGACGAAATTTTAGCAAGTCCATAAAAATGGTGCACCAGGAGATGAATTTTCATAGTAGAAGGAACAAACCGAAAACAAAATAGTGAGACGGAATAAAAACAAATGCATTAGTAAGGATGTAGTGAGGACGTATCAGGTCACGGGTAAGAACGGATTTGCGAAGTGTCGCACTGCGAGCAAATAGGATTCTGAATCGTAACTGAGCATTTGGAATGAAAAAGGCCTGAGACGAAAAACGATGCATGGCGTACGACAAGATAGTAGGGGAGAGATTGTGTCTGTCATAACTTTGCCTGACTACGAAGATGATATTCGACTGCTTACAGAAGCATGCTTCATGGGTATAACATAACTGAGGTTTTCTTCAGTAGCGAGGAACATACATTCCACAAATGAGAGCAAAATGTCAGCCATCAGCTTCATTAGAATGTCGTGAAAGTAGCTTCTCATATTTCTAGGAATGGTCATTCATGGGAACTAAACCGTGGATAATCATGGAAATCAAACAGATAGTGCCAAGCAAATCACGGAATCGCTTACTTAGAATGAGAGAAAATTCCACATCAGAACACTAAGTATCAGTAGACATTTCTTAGATGGTCACGAAGTTACGCCAGATCCAGTCTGCCAGCATTACATTGGCGGTAAAATTTAAATGAAAAACCATGGGTGGACTTTGAAAAAGCCCAGATAAAAGAGAAGGGAGAAAACAACCACCTGGAAAACTCTGAAATGTATGAGAATTAAGAAAAACTGAACACTCAGAAAATCGGCTTAACATGTTCAGAAGGACAAGAAGGTTTACAGTTTGCGCAAAAGGGTGGCAGGAAATCAAGATCACTCACTTTTCCCAGCCCTGAGGTGAATAATCCATGTGTAGAAAACACCAATCGTTCTGTTGGCAATAGAACTGAACTTTTCAGGTCAACAGAGGTGACGAATTTGGCAGAGGCGTCAGCTAATTTGCAGTTTCGTCTCACACGATCATCGTAAAGCAAATCAGCTTGGGACCCATATTGCACTCTGTTGACCTATGATTATTCCCCCAGTCTACCAACGAATGCTCCTCTAGTAGCTCTCTTCTGCCTTACCGGTTCAGATACAAATGGGCAAAATACACATTGGGGACTGTAATCCAAGTGTAATTTAAGTGCCCGGTTACGTCCAACCTAATCGTAAAAAATGTAAGAGTCAATGACGAAACTAACGAACAAGTAATCAACCATTGGTATTCGTAAAAGGTTGAAGCTCCTGCGATGACTGAAACCCCCACAGGCAGTGACCCCTTCAGTGAAAGTCGACGTCATCTTGTCACGCCAACTAACGTATCGATCCATGGTGCATAGTAAGGCTTCAGCTGATCGATCCAACTCATGTGACTGTACGCCTTATCATTGTGCTACCCAATTACACTTTTCCGTTCGACCCGAAAAAGCAAAACAATACAGCTGTGAGCTTGAAAGTTGCGCTCCTTGTGCATCCAAGCACCAATACAAACTAAGTTCGGATTTGGGTTTAGTTCTCCTGCTGATTGCAACCAGTTTCAAGCTGTTGGAATATTCGTTTACTGTGTTTGGATCAATAGGTTCCCAACATGTCCTGCAATCGATAATTCGAGCTTGGGTTACTGCGCGTTTTCATATCCTGCCATCTCTGAAATATAAGCAAACCAGCACTGGTGTTTGGTGACACAGAGTCATCAAGAGTAGTGAGCTTGATAGTCGCATTCTCTCGAGAAACGGCAAGTGAACTACGCCGTTAAAACGAGCCCACGGGCCCTCCCGCGCTGCTACACGCAAAAAATGCATTATAATACGGCGACGAAGCATATATTGGACTTGTCTTGGTATGAAAAAGGACCATTTGAGGTAAAACTTAGCGTGGAAAATAGCCAGCCTTCAGTGAAAAGTCGTACATAACACGAAGTTATATAGCGGATGAAATCCCGCCGAAATACTAGTCATTTTCATGCACAAACTCGGTAGCAAAAACACCTCCAGACCTATTATGGGGGCTTCTGGAAGAGTCCAAAGGGAACCGAAGTTGTATAACCTCAATGTCCACGTGAGTGAACAACCAACTTTTCTGTAATATGAAAACACAGATATGCTTATTTTCTATACAGCCTAACAAACTTGATTACTGTGTAGAACAACAGTGGCTGGCCAAACGATGAATAATAGTGATACCAGAAAAGGTGGTTAATTTTAGGAACTCAGTCGGGTCCCTGACCCACCAGGAAGTAGATTTCGAGGGGAGGGGGCTCAGGAATCTAACTCTATCTAGAGATACCGACCCCAAAGTTTGACCCGACTGATACTTAAGGGAATGAGTTGCACGAGGAGTAGAATGAGTAAATCTGACTACTAGTAGTTCTGCGCTCAGCAACTTGATTTTGAATAACATCGAACCTTCGTCCATTTTGGGCTAGGTCAACCAAGCTAAATAATGTGCTGGTGACTGCAGTCAGTCTTTTGGCGATCCACGTGCGGTCTCTCGTGTCAACCCTTTCTAACTCGTTCTTCTTCCGGTGGAGGCAGTATCACCGTTTTGATTTGCGAATGCTGACTGTTCGGGGGAATATCTCACCGCCTTCTCCCTCCTAACTAAAGACCAACTCGTACCTCGACGTCCGTATTCCAGCTGTTTGTTGAAATCTCATGCCGTTGCAGTGATCCAACCACAGAACTGCACCTTTGAAAACGAGACAAAGCTCAGAGGTTCGTCAAGTTACTTACGGCAGACAGCACAAGGGGCATTTTTACCAGTTATGCACCAACTCACAGAAAATGAAGAGGCATGAAACGGGAACGCCGTGCGCTGCTCTTACACTGCAAACGAATCACTGCGAGGCAACTGTGAAGCAGACCCACAAGTAAGAAGTACGGCATACTTGGTACGTATAGTAGCGGTCCGGCGCTCAGAAACTCTGAGTGAAATTATAGTAGTCACTGTAAGGCCGGTTTGACCTTCGGTAATTTCACCACCACAGAACATGCTAGGACAATGAATAGATTTGACCCATAAGCGAAGAGGAACGAATACTGCCTTCATCAACAAAAGGTTTATTCCGGTAGACCTGAATTAGAAGCGCACTCGGAGCACTAGCCCTAGTTCAAGAAATGTGTGAGCATTTCACCGGGTCATATTCGGCAGGATAAATGCAAACAATTAAGTGAACTTACTCTACTCCTGAACCATCAATTACAAGCTCAGTTTATGTCAATCTATTTCAAAACGTGACAAGTTCAGATGTGCAAGAATATCAATCAGTTACGAAATTTGGATTGCTGAAAATTAGCAGTGGGCCCAAGTAAAGCACAAACGATCACAACAACCACCCAGCACAGAAACTACGACATCTAACTAGCCTTGATTCGTCACTTCCAAACACTTCCAATCCGAACATTTCGCTCAGTTCAAAAACAACCAACCTTTTTAATGGCCACCAGATGTCCACTGCGATTCAGATCCCGCGCCAAAAACACGGTAGCAAACTGACCTTCGCCCAGGTAGCACACTTTCTCATACCGTGTATTTTTGCTCGATTCATCAACAAAAATGTCCATCCTGAAAGTATCCGGGAAAATGGGGATGTTAAGGTTCTGAATGTTTACTGCTAACACCCAAATCATCAGGCCAAAACACATACAGCTGTGAAAATTTCTATTTGGTTCGAGAATAAAAAGCAGTAGATATGTACAGTCACTACAGAATTTGTCAGAATTCTCGCCAGTTCAACGGAAAGTCGCAGTACACACAAACCGGATGAAGAACCGTCATCCGCCAGACTGAGAGACGATCTATGAGGTCGTAGAGAGATAGAGAGAGAGTGACTGGAATTAGGCTGAATTTTGCACAACTCACTTCTGGTCCACAAAGTGAAAAAAATGAATGAATTACCTTGAGGTGATATGGTTAGTGCATAACGATCGCAGCGATCACAAAATCGGAACGCTATGTTCGCGCACGGTTCTAGGGTTTGCATACACCGATCTAGAAGAAAAAGGAAACGCACAAAAAAAGGTCAGCTGACTACACGCACATAAAAATCCCTGTGTGCTGTTGTAGAGGTAATTCTACAAGAAAATGTCCAGCAATCAGTAACTGAAGTGCTCCATCTAGTGACCAAGATACGGGCAGTTGGGGGTTGTGAGCCAACTAGCCCAACCTGGCAGTTTGGGAACACCGAGCCTGGCACTTGACTGCAGCAAGATGACCTGACAAACCAACCTGAACCCGAAGCTACGTGGAAAGGCTGAGCGACCTATGTGCGTACTGTGATCCAACTCTCCAAGCAGCTGGATAAAACCAGGGTTTAAACCCAGTATTCCAAACATAAAATGGGGCTTTTCAAGCGTACCATCCGGGATTTTTAGAACAGAGCATCAGAAGCATACCAATTGGTGGCGTGATTATTTCACTACATAAGTTACAAAACAACTCCCAGCTCTGAAATAAGTCAGACATAAAAAAAACATCCCCAATTTGACCATATTCCAATGGACACCCTGACTGAACCGAGTTTAGCACGGCTGCACAGTGGGAAAGCTCATCCCACATTGAACGGTCTCAAAGAACTCTTGCACCTGGTTACTTTGTTGGATCATTGAACACAGGCCTAAGCAAGGCAGTAAACCAGACGGTTTCAGAAAACAGCTCAGCTGATAGAGCCAGCTCAATGATGACCACGTTACAAAGATGCGAATAACAAATAGTGGATTTCTATTTTTTTTTAGAGTACTTCGATTTCCTGTGTAACATGGTTGGTTGGGCAAACAAGCCATTCGGTAGTCAGCTGTGAAAAATTTGAATGCCGCAAGAATAAGGCCAGACGGATCCCCTGACTTGCAAACTAACGTTGTTCGTACCATCAAACCGAAGTTGATTAACGACGGAAGAAAAAATCGACGTGGCGCAAAAATCGTAATTCCACAGAAGTGTAGACTGACGATTCACGTAAAACCCATATGCACAATGAGTAACATCAGTATTTTAAAAGTATGGTATGGTATGGTAATTGGCCACCGTATTCTATTGGCATTTTTTTTCAAAACCTAGGAAGAATATGATAAACTTCTTTCTCGGTTATCCGATTGGTCGCTGTGCTTGCATCTAAATCAAACACATGGCCATCTTTGAAACCACTTAGAATTGTATTTTAATTAAACAGCCGCTGATGATGTGCCAATAAACGAGTCGATCCGTTGAAACCTGGGACATATCAGCCTACCGGAACAGCCAGTTCAGGAGCAGGACTAATGGGTGGTGTGAACATGCAAACGCTCTCATATCAAGCACAGCGGCCATTCAACATAGCAATCCACCAGGGCCGCCGTAACACTGATCGATTGCCTCTGGGAGACGAGTGTAGGGTGGGGCCGGACTGCCGGAAATAGGCAACAATCAGAAATCGGCCTTGCGCTGACATCTAGCCTACGCAGTCTGTTCCTCAGGACCCAGTTGGGAAATGTATGAAACAACAATAAAGCCACTGCACGCAACACGGCAGCTGAGCAGATGAGATGAAACTTGGAGTGCGTGTGTTAAACTAGATACTGTACACTCATAAAAGTACAAGAACCCCAATTCAGGCAGAAGAAAGCTCCGCATGTCTGGTCGACTCGCAACACCTCAGTTTAGGGCTAAGACAGCGTACGATAGCACAACCAAAAGCAAATGCGTCTACCGTTTATGACAGTCCTCAATCGAACCTGTTAAATAAAGGGTGCTTCCTGTTTCGGTTGTCTCGATATTGAGAATATTCCTTGGTTTGACAATGACTATAAGGTTGATGAAAACTGTTGTTCCGCCCTCTGAGAGGTTCATCAAGTAGGTTTGGTCCTGAAACACCCATCAACTTTATCTCGTACCTGAAAACAGATCGTATGAGTATACAGAAAAAACACTCATCGGTGCCTTGAATATCCGTTCAACTGAAACACGAGACGGCTTTTGTGTGGGATATTTGGTTAAGGAAAATCATGGGAGGTTCATCTGAGTCTAGTGTTAACATCACATCAATGTGCACATGAGTATCTACGATCAAGATCAAGTCTAAGATCAAGATCACATTGCACGTGCTTATGTGACCTTACCTTCTACAGGTGACCTTAACCCCACATTTCTAGGACGGCGTGAGCGTTCCATACGCGAATGGCGAAGAAGTGTCCTAATCAGTAAATACTACACCCAGTAACAAGTGAAGTCAACCAGCATGGGAAAGTCATCATCCAGGGCGCCATTCAATGTGGTGTGTCGCGATGTATCGTCTAAGTGCTTTGTTGATGCACAATGACATCAAATATAGTGAATAGAGTAAGGAAACAAATAAGTGGGGCATTACTGTCATCAGGAAGCACCAGTTGATGAGGCACATCTCCGCATTTGTCCTCCTAAAAGGATCCACCAAAAGTAATCATAACTGGAACGGACTCAGCGGCCCTTCAGAGGGAGCCAAATCTGACCAATGATTTTCAAATATAAACAATCCGTTATCACGCTTAGTGGCGGTCGTCTGTTTCGAGATAGTCAGGTAGTAACCGGTCATTTTGACTACGGTTAAACCAAAGACAACTGCGTCAGTTACGTCAACGACAGTTTAGGACACTTCAACGCCGATAGCGGTCCGTATGAGACAAAGGTGGAGAAGAATATAGAGATAAAGATGTCAGAAGCAACTCATAAAATGCCACTTAGTCTGTTTATAATGCATCATTAAGGACGCATCCGTGAACATAATGTTCTGTAGATACTGTCTGATGGGGCAGCGAATAGAGGGGTAAAGCATGAGCTTTTCTGTGTGCTTAGAGTTAAGGAATACACATTTTACATCCCGTGAAACATTATGGTTGTTACGCCTTACGGGTTAAGCATAGGTTGATTTAAGTTTTGGTTATTTCAGCTCGTGGGGATAACGGATTGAATTCCCACAGCGACCTACGACGAAGCCAACGGTAATTGATTGCGCCGGAAGACTGGACACTATCGCAAACTGGCACCTAACAGTAAACTGAAACGTACCGCACCGAATCAGTGGTGTTTGTCCATTCATTTCAGAGGAAGAACACCGTAACTAATGACGTGGAACCGGCGAAACAGTCGTATAACCACCAACAATAGATGATACGGACTCGACTACAACTAGAACACTGAACCATGTTGGGAATAGCGAAGGACCGCAATTCGAATTAGCATAAACAACATGAAATTCTTCGGAGAAAAAAACCATCACGAAAGAATCAAAATAGTTACGTATCGTTCAAGATTCACATGAATCCGGTCAACAACAATGCAAGAGACGTACATACAATCTAATTTATCTCCCCACTTCCCCGTTTTCCTTACGTTACTTTCAAAGTATAATAATACAACAATCGTTCAGCTTTAAAACATTTTCTGTGCCTGGCTGTCACACCGACCAAAGAAAGCACGAGATCTGATGGTGCCAGAATGCCCAAATCCATACACGAGCAGTAGAGATTGAGATTAGAAAGCACGGACGTTCCATTCAGTAGTTTCGCGCCTCACTCACTGAGCTACTTCGAACCCCTTGGGGTGGAAAGTCATTGAGAGCGGTAGTTAACCTTTCAGTGTCCTGATTAATGGTGTGACTCAACTTTAGGGACGCCACGATAACGGAAAGCTAACCAACGCAATGGCTATGAGTGAGTCAACTGTTGTTTATCATATGATAAACTTCGTCGACCACATCTATTGTAGCATACTCCCACAAGGCCTAAGATGAACGAGTTCGACAAACGGGCGAAATTTTGGACATTAGGAAGCTTAAGAAATTGGAAACATCATTAAAAACTGGATCAACGGATTCCAGGATGGCTTCAACAGGTTACATACTGCTCAAGAATGATGATACTTCTATTACCTCAGGTTCGGAGTTGTCATTAGCATTTCTCAAACAACCTCCGGCATGTTTCCCTAATCTGTTGTAGCTATCCTCTGAAATCAGTCGTCTCATGCGCCTTCTGCTTATTTCGAAACTTTGGAAAACTGCCATTTGGCTTCCAGCTCTTTACATCCCAGTGGGCCTTCAATACCAAACCAGGCATGTGTAAAACTTGACCGCCCGGTGACCAGCTTCCGGCAACCATCGGCGGCAGTATGGAGCTGCTACTCCGCAACAACTACAAAGTACACATGGTACATTACACAAAGCAGGAACCAGTACTCAGGATTCTCACCGAATCTCAATGGCAACGTGCGCAGCATGGACGTAGTCATCATCATAATCATCACCATCACCATTGACAGCAATATTGGAGGAGAATTTTGGTGTTTAATCGACACACAACCATACCAAATTATTTGAATACAGCCTTATAATGGGAAGAAGAAATAAATGGGACAGAAAGCGGATCTCGCGCTAGCCTAACACAAATATTCGGGATACCAAAACCTCCAGCACAATGTGGACAGAAACTGACAGCATGAACGTCACTGACATCGGTTAGCCACCATATTGTCCAGCGTCTCCAACACAGGGAGGGTCGGAGAGCATGGACACCGCCCAAACCTTACGTGATATCCTTCATTTTCTTCCACCATGTCAATTTCTAACCACCTCTAGGTTTCCGCCACCCTGAATTCGGTACGGTAAATGGTACTCGTCTTAGCAGGCGGTAACTCGATATGTCTATCACGTAGCCCAGCCAAATTAGCCTGCAGTGCTGAATGCGTTGTTTGGCATTCGAGACCCGTGCGTTTACTTTGTCTGTCACAATACCGTCAGATCTAATGCAACTTCCAATATACGAATAGCGTTCCACAACTTCCAGTGTCAGAGACACGTTCAAAGAATCTACGTCGTGCAGCATAACTTTGCATCTTGTGCACATGAAGCACATGCCAAAGGACCGAATGAACTGAACCAGCATTTTAGACAATGCTTGCGCTACTCGCCTTTTTCGAAAGTGATAACATTTGCCAATTCTAGTCTCGCGCTCGGAGGAACCTGAACACCGCATTTTGAGGACTTCCAGACCTCGCCTCATTATCCCATTAATAAATGGAGAAATTGGATCTGTCACGCACCATTGCTTGTAAGAAAGCGAGATGCAGCACCATACGATGGTCGATGTGGCATGACAGTTTTGTTAGTTGTAAGTATCACGGTCGTGCGTGGGCTGGCATACTGCCAGTGTGCCCAGACCAAGACAGTAGGACGATTAAGGTCCTCAAGTAAACTCTTTGACTCAAAAGCCTAACTGCAAGGCTACGGGGTAATACCATTAGAGTAAATTACATTTTTAAGGAGTGAATCGCCACACATGTTGCAACCCCCGATTTGGAGGACCCGGAGACTATTAGTCAAACGTATACCTATTGAGCACCCTGGTGTGAGAGGCCCTGTGTATGCTCCCCATTTAAGCTCGATTGGTTATGGAGGTGCGCAAATCGTCACACCGCGGTAAGGTCCAGTCTCTTTGTAACGGACACGGACGTAAATTGACAACGCAAGCCGAATAATAAGTGTGAATTCATTCTGGCGTAAGCTGTGCATCATCATCATCGTTGTCGTCGACGGCATGACATCAGTGTTCAATACCGATGCTTCACCGCCGTACACTGCCGTGTACACCACCGTCCACGCCAAATAAAGTGCATGAAACTAATGAGGATATCCAAACGTTGGTGCCTAATTAGTTATTGAAGCACGACAATGGGACTTACCAAAAATATGTCCATTAGGGCATTCAAAGCGAACAAGTCCTGGGATGGTAGGTGACTGAGAAGCAACGGTTAAGGAAAATGCACACCGTAGCTGACAGATAATACAGGATAACACTGAACCTGGTAACCACTGATTGAATTCCTCGACTTCAAGCAGAAAAAGAAGTCATCTGGATGAGAATCAGTTGGACGGGAAATAATACCCCGGGGTACTCTCGACTAAAACCAATAAAACCAAAAGCTAAACAGTAGGCTAAAACTAAATGCAGCGTCCGCCACGGAGAGAACCAAGATTTCGGTAGACGTAAAATTTCTGTTAGTGTACGATTAGGCGAAAACAATGAATGTTACACCTAATCAGACCGCAAACTAACGAATTTCACAGTTCCAAAATATGGTATCTGTAATAGGGAAACCACTTCAGAGGACGTTCCGTAATTACAGCTCCCCATAGCAATTCGAGTAAAACGATCACCGAAACAAGTGGGGACGGGTGTCGCTAGGGACGTAGTCCATAAGTAATCTCTATGAAACTTCAACGAAATATCTTACAAGTAACTTTGTTCACGTAACGACGTCCCCGGAAAGCGGCGGATGGGTTGCTAATACAACGGGAAGGAACAACCGGAACAAAGGCCATGGTACACTTTTGACACTTCCAGTCAGAGTATCAGCCTACACAGTCTCTATGACTATCAGCCAGATATCAGCTACTGTTCAGAGAATCGCGTACCTAGAATTGTTACATGGTGAGTCCAGGTTCCTGGAACAGACGCAGATAAAGTAACCGAGTGGGTTGCCCTCTTAAAGGGATGGTTTTCATCGTTTCACCCGAAAGACAGGTAGAGAAATTCGACGGCGTATTCACCATACCCAACCCACCCTTATCCAGCAAAAGGCCGTCTTACGGAGAAGAACCGTGATTAACTTCCGGCCCCTATGCTGCTGTCCGTCCAACCTCCACGAACAGTCGGAAGTTTGAGGTTTTCTATCACTGACTTACTGATAAAAGATGAGGGCTACCTACTTAGAAAAGGCTTCCAATAGTGAAATCATCGAACACTGTCACAATATATCACACCTATCTCAGCACCCAAGACCACGGCATCCACAACGCTTTGAGCATCTGTCGAGAAAGATGTCTCCAAACAAAACTTGGCCCCTAAAATCACATCAAGAATCGCGTTGTGGATTGGGAGAACAAACGAGGGTATAGTTCAATACAATCAAAAGTGATATGGAACATCTTGATCCAAACGTGGTATCGCTGCAGCCACCATATAATCGCGTTTTATCCATATGTGGACACATATATGGACACATCTGAGCAACGTCTATTCGAGGGAGTTTCGAGGCCAATTAGATCTATCCCCATCAATTGGCTGCTGAAACACAAGGACAATCATATGAACACCAAAAAGGAATACTAAGAACCATTCAGTCTGGCCGAGTTACCCCTCGTAAGAAATCTGTCTTCAGGCGGCAGACAAATTCTCGATACTGAGACTAACCACATTACCACCTACAAGGTGAAACCCCCCCAGAAGCAGACTATGTCTATAGTAAGAAATGATTCCCAATCATATTCTCTCTCCATGGGAAAACACCCAAAACTGAACAGGAGCGGGTGAAACCCAGCACAAGTTTCACACTCACGCCTCGAGTGAGCTAGTGCCTCTCTGCAGACCAAGATGCATTTCATACCCACAGGTACGTTACGCACGATCGGGAAACTGAATTCGACAAACGGATAGCGCACACAACAAAATACACCACATGTGACTGACTGTTTTGTAACTTATGCATTTAGTCGGTAAGGAAGTTTTGGAACTAGCAAACTGTGACGGATTTCCGAAGTATTTCCGCGATATCAGACAGAACCTTATCAAGCAGACTGACGATGGGGTAGTCCCACTGGTTTTCATTTCCTAAGGGATTGGCAAATCACAGGAATTAACCACCTGAAGGACTGTGAATTGCTTAGCTGATTGGACGTTCAATCCTCTTAAGTGTCCACAGAGGAGGCATATGCGTATTTTGATGTCCAACGCCTGCTATAGAGAGCAACTTTTCGTAGACGTGACCACAATGTCGTATTACTCTTGACCTGTGAGTGACAAAAAAAAATTGCGCCAGTTCATAGGTGGATGCAAGTTGGACAAGCAATCCAAAAACCGTGCACAGAACAGCAAAAATAACCCGAAAAGGATATCTTCTGAACACACAGGGCAAATTGCGGAACCCGATGGAAGATCTGTTGCTGGAAGTTTGAATCGATGTAGGTACAGCTGACGAGCGAGATTCAGGACTTGTTCAGCAGTCTTGCGTAGAGTAGGTAGTACACAACGTGGTGCAGGTTCCGCCGGCTGAATGGCACCTCCGTCCGCAGAGTTCGCGTTGTCCGCCGATTCGGAGTTCCGTTTATACCAGTCAAGGATGACTATTGCCATACGAGCCACGAGAATACAATCTTCAACGGAAAATATGAGGAGTTATGTACACTATGTGATATTCGAATTTGTCATGCTTCAGGACAGACCACTTTGAAAGAGCAACTCCGGAGAACAGACGAAACATCCAGCACACTGTGGTGGCCTTTCATAAGGGAACTTGCTCTAGTGATCAATCGCAAATTGTCGGATGTTCTAGGAGTAAAGGTCGCAATGCATCCCGAATTTCCTACCCCTCCTCCTCTTGAAACCATAAGCTAAACCCACCTCAAAACATCTTTAGACTACCAAGCAAGCGTCAATAGGAGGTACGATTTAAACTAGATAGGGGCAAGTGGCTTTGACGCGGACCACGGGCTTTTATCTACGCAGCTTTACCGTCAATTTTGAAAAAAGGACGAGCCTTGACCACAGAACTGTACGAGAACTGTGACAAGTATAGGAAAATAGCCAGGAAACTTAGTATGAACTCAAAATCTGGTCACCTACCAACAGCCTGACGTTGAACAGAGCTCTCAAGAAACCGACGAAAGCAACGATCCAGATGGAGATCCCTGATTAAATCATCAAGAACGAATAGAAGCTCGGAAGCTTTCTTCTGAAATCAAACGGGAAACACGGAAGTAAATGGTATGGATGAAAATGAAAGTAGACTTATTTAGGCACATCATCTCTATATTGATTGAGCTGTCATCTCCGTGGAGATCATACGAGGAGATTGACCAAATATAGTTCCATTAGAGGACTGTCCACTTTTGGAAACGGTATTTTCAGAAGAGTTTATTTGTGGACTGAGGCACTGTCTATACGTTTGTTATATCATCTAGGTGGTGTTCTACCTACCAGTAGGCCAGTTTAATGCAATCCTTGTAAAACTTGTAAACACGAAAGTTCCCTTTCTTATAGATGTTTCGGTGTGCAGACGTCTTGGTTCATCTGACCTCAGAAGAAAACCCAATACAGTGTCTATTGCGTGTCACACTTGGATTGCTATTCTACTCACTGGAATACACCCGGGTGCAAAAGTGGTTTGGAACAGTCAGTACTGAGGTAAACTTAAATCACTGCAACTTTATTTAAAAATGACCCAGAGGATTCTCTGGAATGCTACTCTAGTTTTCTTAACGGAGCATCGGGCCAGAAGGACAAAATTCCGATCGGTAGATTGGCAGTTGATGTGTTTAGCAAACCTAGAAAGTGGTTTGCAAAAGTTTCACCACCACAAGATGATGCAGTGTTTTTGTGAGCGGTCCGGTGGATAACTCCTCCAGAGCCAATAAAAAGTGCTTAATGCCTGTAATGTGATGAGTTGTTTGACCGTCAGCTAGCACATAACCTGATTGGTCCGTTTTTGAAAATCAGCCGAACTACAAATAATCAGACACATTGGTTGATATTTAGAGTAAACTTGTTCCGCCTTCGTTCCGTCGATGTCCTGTTCGCCATACATCTTGTTCAATCGATTTGATGTTCGGTTATTCCGAGCTAGCCGCCTCTGCACTTTTGTGAAAGTTAAAGTTTAACTGTATGGAAAAAAATGTCCACAATAGTGTGTCACTGGTGGACATAAAAGTGTGTATGAATCACCACAAACGTACTTACTGACGTTTACAATTAACTACATGAAATAAATTACACGAGGGTACACGAGGGGAAACTATGGTGGGGGGAGTTCCAACTGTGTGACACCACAGAATGGGAAGGCATCAGGATATACACAAAACCCTTTAAGTTTTCATTACATTCAAGTCCGATATAAGGAAAATCTTTGTTGACATGACGAAAAACCTTCAGATCTGTTCGGTATGCACCGATTTCGTCGTAAGGACTTCACTAACTGTGAACAAATCAGTTCAGTTGACGCGAACCAAAAGAGATGATATGTACGGAACAGGGTCTCTGATGAATCGGCGGTGAGCAAGTGAAAGTAAACAAGAAACTTACTTGAGTATTCTCGTCTTCATCTCTTCGTAACAACTGCAGTATGAATCTAAAAGTCCCAAACAGGGTAGAAGGAATCTGCTTAGGTACGGGGAGGAATAAAGCCATGCCACATGAATACACTCCAACAGGAGGAATACTTCCTTGAAAAAGGGCCTTCATAAAAGTTACTACTTTCCTTAAGCTGAGAGGAACACTGAATTTCAGGCGAGCAAAGCGATGGAAACAAAAAAATTAAAATGGATGAAAAGCTGTCAATGAAGATGCTGTCACTGAAGTGCTTTTCCTGGTGTGCACAATCTGAAAATCATCCAGAGTTGGTTCCGAGAACAGTATACATTCTGTCAAGCATTCGACGACCAACTGTCGCTCACAAATTACAGCAGTAAATAAGGGTATGAGTTTCTAACCACAGGAACCTTAGAAACAATACCTAGAATTCGCTCCTTACCACCCCATTGTTGAAATTAAACGCAATGGAACGCAAACCCACCTGTACAAATGCAAACAAGGGAGGGGCTTATTAATCCAAGAGTTTGGTAAACCGTCATCCCCGAGCTGAACTTCCAGTAATCCTGAACGTTGGAGACATTCATTGCGTACGGATGTGACACCATCAGGCCATCGGTAGCACAGCTGTTGCAAAGCGTCTAATTTGCGATGGAGGGGCAACTTGAAATTGAAGGCTAGTTCAAGCAGGTTCGCGCTAGTCCACATTGAAAGAAACCGGACCTGTGCAGAATAATCAGATATATTACCCTTGAGTGGTTTTTCATCTAGCACCGCCGCGGAAGAGGTACCACACGATACCCAGAGAAGAACAGTTCAATTAAGAATTTTCTACCAAGAATGGAGAAATGCGAAAACTTCCTGTCAGCAATAGATGCACGAGTCTGATAACCGGAATAAATCTGGCCTTGTAGACAATTTATTCCCAATGCGGGTCTGTCTCAAAACGTCATTTTCACTTGCACACAGTGAAAAGCATCCGGCTTTGTGTGAGCAAATACCATATTTTACCAGGCCGAACCCTTGCATCACACCCCCGGTTCGAAGAAATCAACAATGGTATGCTTGATAATAAATGTTACACATAAAGGTACCGTGACACTTAGGCCAATGTAATCATGAAAAGTATCGAACCACACGAGCAGTAGGAGCTACATAACCCGAATAAGGACGCATAAATGGACTAGAATACCTGAAAGACACGAGGCGAGGCCAACTTTACCGCATATACGAAATAGAAATCGTTCAGATGTAGCCCCCTTTTGGTGCCTAGCTGCCATGCCACACGAAGGAAGCACGAGTGCTGGGATACGCAATGATGTCGATCAAAGTGAGATCTGTAACATGCAGTTTAGAAATGAGGAAGTGGTGGCCTTTCCCGTGGCAGTTGTACAGCCGTGGTCTCTTCATGGTAAAACTCTTGTGTTCCAAGAATTAGGTCAGTTTTACAGATGAAAACTGGCTTTTGTAAAGGAACGATATTTTAAATGGAGGAGAATCTCTTCAGATACACACGCTACTATGCAGCTAGCTGAGGCCTTATTGTATGAGTAGCTAAATTTGGGATATATTCATTCATTCTTGTCGTGTAGTCGGTTGGATTAATACTTTTCAAAGGGGCTGTCCTTCAACGAAACTATTTTGAACCATTCCCTAGAAGTAATCATCGTTTGATAGAGCACTATGCTTACCTGTGGTAAATATACAGCCTGGCCTACCCGGCGCATGTTGTCCAAGTAATTGATGGGTCTGAAAGATATGAACACAGGTTTTTGCAATTAAAAAATTTTGCCCAGAGATCCTAATATAGGCCCCAAAGAATGGTGTCCAACATTGAGGGACAAGTTGGAGAGCTAGTCCCGGGCTGTCGATAACGAGTTAGACGCTATGGGCGAACCCGAAACATCAACAGTGAAATGTGCCTACCTGCACATTTACTTGACAGTGCGAAAAGTCGCCAGTTAATAATGAAAGCCACATTCAGATAGTGAGTCAGACAAGGGAAAGTCGACACGGGTTGTCAAGGGCAAAAATATAGTTAAAAATGTTCAGCTGTAGCACCCTTTCGATGCCTAACTGCCATTCGACCCGAAGGAAGTACGATGGACGGGATACCGCCAGGTTGGCCGAGCCCAGACAGGGGAAATCGAGTGGCAGAGGTCGGATTCGAACCACGGACATTCCGGTCAGTGAATTCGCGCCCAAACCACTGAGTCATCTCGCCCCACCAAGGACTAACCATGCCTCCTGTCTCGCCAAATCTACGAAGGGAAAAGGCGGATTTGGTTTACTTTTGGAGCATAAGTTAATCAACTGCTAACAAGGCAACTAAAGCCGGCGAGATGCTTATCTTTTAAGCTGAAATATCAGCCTTGTCAGAAGTCTGTTTCTCTGCTCACTACATAGGTGACCACATAATCGTGACCACCGCTTCTGTCACAGTCTCACTGACCAACTTGTTGGAAGATTACATCCGTTCCGAATCATTTACTGCTTTCTACTGATGCGGAAGTAAGCTGAACACGTGCTGCTCTCAACTGATGGATCAATGACCTAAGTATTCCACATCCCACAGCACATCACATTTAGTCACTTATTAGTGGGGTGCTGCAAATCCAGGTCATCTAATCGACGTGTGACTTTACTGTTTCTCAACACCCAACTGTTGGAAATGTATGGCAACTGGTATTGACGCGCAATAGTACCTAGATGGATAATAAATAACTGCTGGCACATTTTAACTACGACCACCACCACCAGGAAGACGAAAGTAGAAGCGTTCCTGGCCGTTAGTCTGTTCGCTGAGTGGAGTGATTTGGTGAGGTGACGTCATTAGTGTGTGATTGTGTAGCAGTTCGTTCACGCCAGGAAATATTCATAAACCTCGAAGCTTAATACAAGCAAAATCAATAATTTAAAGCACATGAGAAACATAAAGATCGTAGTTGAAATAATTTTCTAGGTCAGCAGTTGAACTTCCGATCGATTTCTTACGCTACACACCTGTCAATCGATCACAACTGAACTAAATCAACTCACCAAGGAGTGGACACAATCGAAGAACTTAAACAAAGTATTTTCGACGTTAGCTACGCCGATGGATTGACGAGCCTACCATTAGGAGTAGGTAACTACAGTGAATGACGAACTCATTTTTCCATGCAGCTATTCTGAAGCCAATCTTATTGAAACTACACGGAAAGAACAGACTTCAACTACGAGTTTCGCCTCGATCACTATATTGGCAAAATCAATAGGCCAATGAAAATGTCAGGAATAGTGTAGAAATCAGGACAGCGGGCGAAAAATACCAAACTGGTGTGAAAATAAGTGTACTTCGTGAACTTCGCGTAATTTGGTTTCAAGGAGAACATGAGGTTGAAGAAAACTCGAGGAGTGCACCCCATACGGGCGAAACAGGTCGAGGACTGTCAGATTTTTCAGAAACCTTATGAGTAGCGTTCCTTCATTTAAAAAGAAACAGTTTCTTGCTACGGTTGTCCAGTCACGGCAACAAATCCTAGGTTAGTCATCCGTGATGCAAGAGTCAACGTGGTAGGCTACCACTGTAAGTGCAACGACTGAGGTAAGGTTAGTGTAATGCATTTACCTAAAAGCGAATTTGAATAATAACAAAAAAGAACATTTAGTTTACCCTCCGTCTTTCAAGTGTCAGCGAAGAACAAGCGGTATTCTGGCAGGATTATGTAAGCAAACATGATCTCTCGACTTGAACGGTGTGCAACCGAGTGGATGGACAGTATGAAAACGGAAGTTACTCATTTTGATATGACACGCTATTTATAAGGTTGTTAAAAGCTCTTCCGCAGCAACCGACCGATCTCATCCTGTGTGGGGCTCATCCGGTAGGCACAGTCCAAGAGTTCCCACCGGTTGTATCAAATTGTGAAACACATTCACTTTCAAATACGTTGGTTTTAACGGGAAATCCAAAGAATCTGCCGTTTATGACAACGTTCAAGGGCCACCTCATCTTCCAGTTGGCATTATATTCGAGATAACGTAGTGTGCTTTCAACACTTCGCCCGAAGTTTTTCCGAGCCATTGGATAGAACACCAGCAAGCAAATTCAGGTGTTAAGCACGAAACAAAGAACCATGGCGGCAGATAACCGGCCGGGGAAAGGAGGAGGAAAGCCCTACAATAGTAGGGGACACATCAAAACGCCAAACCATCATGATGCACCAAAAAACATATTCAAGTACGTCATGAGATTTCTAGTATCCGTGGCAAACATAACTATAAGCAGTCCCTATTTTGATCATATACATCGATGGCCCGATAGCATTCCATATCCTTCCTGAATCGTGAGAGTGGCACCACTGCTGAAGGACAGCTGGATTATCAATGACACACTAAAACTGGCAGTAACATATGGCCAATTCGCACACGAGCAGGAAAAATAAGGCTTGAAACAGAAGTGATTTGAAGGGGAAATGTTATGTTCAGTGTGAAAACCTATCTACATACTCGGTTGGTATACAAAAAAAGACTTACTTTTCAACGAAAGCCAGGTTGACACCATTGCAAGACATCGCCAGGCCATGAAATTCCCACATGAGTAGTTCGGGGTCACGACAGCTCGATGAGGACCAGAGAATTTCCCATTCTGGTGCCACTAGAATGATGGGAATTGATGAGTTGATTAAAAAAGTTAATCGGAATAATGACTCCCTTGTTTGTTGAACGAAGGTTACGAAGTGGGCAAGCAGAAATTCTGCGGGAAAGTGTTCAGTGCACAACCCGCCTTCTTACTACAAAATATCTGTTCGGCTTTCTAAATTAATGTGTACAATTAAAGGCGATTGAAAGGTGCACGATAAGAAGATCGAACCATGGGAATCCTACCACGAATTGAGCTGTCAGTAGAGTGGGCGGTTGAAACAACATATCGGTAAATTTTCAGCAAGCTTATGAGTAGTGCATTACAAATAAACATATTGTTAGATTTCCGCAGATGATCGGTTGGAAGTTTGCAATCCGCAGGTAAAGATGTAGATGAGACTGGATCCAGTAACTAGGCCACATTTTCAATCGGTGCTCTAAACTGATATTGTTTCCGTAATTCCAACTAGAAGCTGTTTAAAATCAAATTCGATCTGTCGACCTCACAATACCTCGTTTATATCAGTCCAGACATGCACACGCGCCTAATCGCAGACGGCCATGCCTTATGAGAGGTTCGTCTTTGTTCCGTGCTTTATCCATTTACCGTGCCAATGATAGATCCTACTATGATCGATTTTGCTACCCAATGGGAAGGGGTTGGCGACCCAGCCGCATGGGAATGACGGGAAAAAACAACCGTGCCGTGTGACAAAAAAAGTGATTAAACGAAATCGGAAGCAAAATGAATACGAATGCATTAATCCCTCGTCATAGGACAAGAAATCCAGCGCAACATAAGAAATCGTGTTGTTCACAACAGGAAAACCCCTAGGTAAGAAGAAAGTATTCGTCTCAGATGTGACATGAACTGGTCGTAAGTGTGAAACTCATGGTTGTATGTGGGCTGAGGTACTGCCAGGGTACCCACACCTAGATAAGAGGACGATTAGGGTCCTCAACCAAAGCCCTTAACTCAAAAGCCGGACCACAAGGCAATGGTATGCAACGGAAATGTAGGTGTATTACCGCTCTATAGCATATGTTCCGACCCCCAATCTCGAGGGACCGGAGACCGTGTTGGCTAGACCTCTAACCGACCTGGTATGAGAAACTCTGCGAGCTCTGCAAGGACGCCCTTCATTATACTTCAACGGGTCGCGGAGGCACACAAACCGTGATACCACGGCAACATCCAGTCTCTTCGTGACGGACAACTAGTAACTAAGCTAAAAGCTATCTACACTGGAGGTCAGACAGGTGTCACGGTGAACCAACTGTATGCTACGTCGATCGACATAGCACACATGTCAGTGTGTGACTGTGATAATGAAAAGTCACTCGTGTTACTGTTTATCTGACCCCAACATTACCATCTGTTTCCATTGAAACACCCTAGCAATGGCTGAAGGATTCAATCATAGTGGGTTCTTGAATGCTGGTACAGTGAAAGACATCAGCGAAGTGTGGACAGTTGGAGAAAGCAAAGCGATATGGAATAACACGCCAAAAAGATAACAATTTATCATACCATTGGGTCGTTCTTTGGAAGGAACCGCCGATGATTTGGTTGAGCCTAACTGACCTAACTATTCACAAACACTTAATTTAACTAACGAAATAACCAAGCACTAAGATGCGATAGATTCACCAGCTGAAGAAAAAACGGGGAACCAAGGCTGCTTAGTCCTGCAGCTACAGGTAAACGTCCACGCAGTGGAGTCCACTCATTTCGTGGTTCACGTATACGGGAACAAACCACAGCTTGCTCCCATAGTATGGAAAGTTAGTTGCAGACAAATCCGTTGCTCTTTGTTAGAGAATCCACAGGAACTGAAGAAAATTAGCTCTGTGTGAATGATTCAGCTAGTTGGGGAGCTACTCATCACCAAATAATCCGATGGTTTCCGTGAAGACAGTCAGTCTCGTTTCACAATCGTCGAAAATAGATTGGTCACTCAGAGCTCTGGCAGATAAGACTGCCCAACACTGCCTTTCGAAGCTGTGAAGAAATAAGTTTGAAAGATGAAAGTATCTACTCTCAGATAAATTTTCCTCAACCACCGGCGGCATCCAACAGGAAAACTGAAGAAAACCAACAGGACCAACAACCAGCAATCATAATTCCTTGATGAAGATTATCGAGCACAAGATAAAACAGCAACAAATCTGAGCACCATATCGGAGTAAGACGCCAAATGTTGCTCGGATCCAACGTCAATTACACGCCTCATTCAACGAAAACCAAGCGTACAACAAGAGACAAACTTCCTCTAGGAGGACCGACCAGCATGAACGTCACTGGGATTAGTTGAGGGTCATGTCTCACAAGCTCTCTGACTACGTGTGTGAAGAATCACGTGGATCCAGGTGAGAAGCACGCGATTCCGCAGCGCCCAGCTTGATTATAGCCGCTTTCACTTCACGTAGCCACATCCTCGAGTCTTTAGCTGGAATGGGTTCAGAAGGAAAAAGGTGCATTCCTCACCAGAAGGGTGTGTGTGATGTAGACCCCAAAGCGATAAGTTTTATTTGCCGCTCTGTTGATTTTAACTGGTTCTATAGCCGCTTTCACTTCACGTAGTGTGTGTGATGTAGACCCCAAAGCGATAAGTTTTATTTGCCGCTCTGTTGATTTTAACTGGTTATTAAATTGTCACTTAAGCACTAACATACACTAAATGTGAATAATTTATAACAATTTCAGCTAACAGTTTGTAAATGACTGGTGAATAAATGAGGGAATTAAGGGTTTTGACCACATACTGCAGGTGATAGTTGTAAACACTGTCGTGCAACTCTTACAATCATGGCACGAAGGCTGTGGACGCAAACCAAAAAGACAACTGTCCTATTCGTATGGCACATGACATCAATAAGAGCATACGGACAAACAGCATCACAGTTGTATACATAGATGCATTTACTGCGCACGTGAACACAGCTAAGATATAGGCGAAGTATAAATCTCCAAATGTGCCCAAAAGGAGCCAAGTGAAATTCGGTCTCAAAAAGGACGTTTCGAATCTCTATAGGGAAGGACCATATGTGATTGACCTACATTACTGTGGTATTGAGGCATGCATCCGGACCTCTCACTGATTCAATGTGAATGATGCACTGCAATAACTGGGCCAGACGAATCGCATGGATAACCGGATTGGACAGTATTCCACCATCATTCAGAGATGTGTGAATACTTCTCAAGAGAACTTACTTGAATGCCAAGGTTCTGGTAGTGGTGCTCTGGTTACGACTAGTATTCTTGTGTTTTCAGTGCTCGGTCTATTTAACGACCGTTCTCGTAACAATGGGACCTACAACAGAACACTGCTACGCGGTGCTAGGCTATTCTCTCCTCAATTATACGATTAGCTCTCAGGTATGAGCAAAATCTCTTGTCACAGTAGAGAGGAACCCAGTAGAGTGGGGTAGAATAATGCGTTATTTGGATCTGTCCCCTGGTTGGCCTCAAGTGGCCTCAAATTTAATCCGTTAGCAGGACAACCAAATGGGTAACTGGCTTACGAAGTTAATTCTGATGGTCGTTCTAACAGTAACACACAAAGACATGGACCGCAATGCTGGAAACGATTGCAGCATGACTGAATGAATCGAAAATTTAATGAAATATCCAGTGTTGGCAAAAACTTCAAGAGACCGTAGAGTATCGGTTGGAACGATAAGTCCCTTAGAAACATACCTTGATCCGGATTTTCAAGAAGAGCAGTTGCGAGGTATCCATCAATCGTTGTGACATACACCCGTTTATCGGTATAATGGACACCTGAGAAACCAATAGGAATGTTCGTAGATAGAAGTTGTGAAGAACGTCCTAATTGCAATTTATGCACGCTTAGTGGATGCGAAATCCGACCTCGAAATCAACTAAAAGGTTCCGGAAAATCAGCCGAAGATGGTTCACAAGGAAATCTTAACTAATTTGAGCCATCACTATCAGGTCACGAAACCCTATTCTCAGCGTAGGACTCGGGTACTCCCAAGCAGCCGAGCCGGCATGTCTCCGAAAGGAGAAACCTCAAAAACGACAGGAGCGACGGTCGCAAAAAACTGAGTCGTTTCATCGATTCTAGAGTGCATCGGTGTATGGCGGACAATTCACCCAATTTCGCGAGTGACTTTGCTATCCTGTTGGATAGAGGACTGATTACCGGAAGCATTCATTCATCAACGCTTAGTATGAAGAGTTGCAACAGAGGTAACTCACCTGTTATACAGCCGCACGTGTACTTGGGTTTGAAAACGCGGTCATACAAAACCTGGTAGGTTGGAACTAAAACACCACCGATTCGACGTAGAGTATGTTCACGAACCACGACTTTGACTGCTGCCACCAGAAGATGCGTCCCATAGCCTAAGCAAAGCATACCATCGGACATAGACCAGGAGCAGGCAATGACGGGTGTGTAACTAATTGAGCGTGCGTTCAGCGACACCCTGTGGGACTGAAGGATTGGGAGGAAGAATGTAGAACGTTGACGCAAAAATAAGCATGAATCGAACGCCGCCTAAAAGCTCAATGTAAAATATGGTTCGGATCCAAACTGGGCATCTCGACTGCTCCGGTCTAAGCTTGGGAAACTTGGCAGTATCTCAGCTCCCGTCCTTACTTCAAAGTGTCATAGCAGCTACGCGCCGAAAGGGTGTTACAGCTGAACGATTACTATTATTTTACCCATGCAGGATGATTTGCACGCCCACCTTCGCCATCGCCGCCATAATTTACAAAATGAGAAATTTAAGGGACCAGTCAGACAAAAACCAGAAAAAGATTGCGAAGATGGAAAGGCACTGTTCACCAACGATTCTTCCGCATTAATGCGAACCGATAGATAACAGGGAACTTACTGATAATCCGAGTCCTCAAGTCTTCAAAACCACTAAATTAGCATATAGGTATCCTCCCAACAAAAAGAAAGAGTTGAAACATGCAAAGGTCATTGCAGAAACGTATAGAGCGAACAGTAGTGATGTCCCCAGCTATTATATATTATACATACTTATGGGCACAAGTCACTGATGCAGGCTTTCATTCTTACAAAAACCTCCGACCTAACATAGTTCCAGAAACAAACACGATGCGAAGAAATTGACTTTGTCGCAGTCCTGGTGACTGAGAACGTTATTCTATTCAGGTGTTTGTCACCTCTGAGAATACCTTCAGTCAACAATGCACAAATCGCGTTAGCATACAAGTTAATCAGGGAGCTCCCTCAGGGCTGGGAAAAGGGATGGAAAAAACGCCACAAAATGCGTCAGAGAAGAAACCGGCAGTGAAGTCATCCCACGACGGCAGCCTCCAAATGATAGGCGGATAAGTCTGAATAATGCAATAGTCTTGTTAATTATGGGTGTTTGAGGTTAAAATACACCTTACGAGCTTCCGCTAACAATTTTGTGGGGCATATAATCACTATGGATAGAAGCTTTGTCTGAAACAATGCAGTTTTGTAACAAGACGACCAACTCAAGAGCAGTTGAGAGTTTCCCCCATATATCTTATCTCAATCTGTCCATTTCAATAAGACAAGATGTGCCGATTTGTATCCCTTAAAGAACGACTAAGACGTGAAGGTTGATTTTTAGTGTGCGATTGAACACAGCACACCTTACACTTCAGTAACCTGTCGATCCATATTCGAGTGCTTCATCGATGCCTAATCCAAGAAACAGTTAATTGAATGGAAATATCTGGGAACTATTTGACGTGACATCAGTCGAATTTGATGTACCATTTAAAACAAGTCAGCTATCAAGTTACGGTCTAGACGGTAGAAAAATCTGGAGAAAAATCGTCCACCCAGAGAGCGGGTAACTACCAATAGGTTGCTTAGCTCATTCGATGAACATCTCTCGTAGAACGAACCAGAACTGTTCGCTTGTGCAAGGCACTGCCGTGTTTCTGAATTCGGTGCAGTTACACTAGAATCAGTTCGACAATCGTTGTCTCAGAACCATAGCTCGTGTGGGTTGGTGTCGGCGAATCCGTAATGAGACAGTTAGAAAGCGTGTTTTCGGTTGTGTAACGGTTACTTCCATTGAAGAATGTGTCCAGCGTTGGTTGGGACATGTGTTACGTATGCCGAACCATCGTTTGCCGAAGAGAATGCTGTTTTCCATGCCCAACTCAGAGTGGCGTAAACAGAGAGGTGGCCAACCCTTGACTTGGCAGAGGAGTATGAAGTAGATCACGAAACGCTTGGGTGCCATCGGTGCTACTCGCCTTCCAGGATGGGGACCGCGTGATCCGCACTGTGCCTGGTTGGAGACACTACAAGATATGGCTGCCAACCGATGTCCGTGGCGTTCTTGTTGTCAGTTTCTATCCAGATTTCCTGCGTGAATGTCTGGAGGTGTAGGAACATCGGAATGATTGTATTAAGCTTGCACTAATTCCCTCCCCCGCCCACCTTTACGCTTTTCTTTACAATAAGGCTTTCAAATACGTCATGGTTGTACGGCAGTGAAGCATCGGTGTTGAACACTGATGTCATGCTGTCGATGATGACGATGATGACACTAGAATCACTAAGTGAAAAACATCTCACCAACATCATGATCATGGGCAGCACGACATCAGTGTTCAACACTCGTGCTTCGCTGCCGAACACCCATGAAAAAATCGTTCAGCTGTAGCACCCTTTCGGTACCTAGCTTCCATGCCACCCGAAGGATGCATGGAGGCTGGGATACTGCCAAGTTGCCCAAGCCTAGACAGGGGAAGCCGAGATACAGACATCGGGTTCGAACCACGGACCCACTCGGCTCTAACTACTGAGCCATCTCGCCATGTTGGGAAGAAAAGAATAAAGGTGGGTTGGGAAGGGACTTAGTGCTAGCCTCCTACAAGCATTTCAAAATGCCAGACATTCATTCAGGCAATCTGGATAGAAAGCGACAACAAGAACACCAATGACACCGATCAGCAGCCATATTTTGTAGCGTCTCCGACAAGACGCAGTCAGGATCACACCGTCACCATCCTAGAAGGCGAGTGACATCGACAACAGCCAGACGTTCTGTAGCCTATTGCATACCCTTTGTCATCTCAAGGACTAGCCACCTGTCTGCTTCCGCCACTCTGAACTGGGCACGAGAAACAGCCGTCTATTCGGAAAACGATGGTTAGGCATACGGAATACATGGTCTAGCCCAAATAGCTTCTGGTACTGGATACACTCTTCGATGGAAGTCCTCGTCGCACAATCGAAAACTCGCTTTCCAATAGTCTCGTTGCGGATTCTCCGACACTAGCCCACACGAGCTATGGTCTTAAGACAACGGTCGTCGAACACCTGAGGAAGTCTCAATTCCGCTGCTCGAAGAGGCCAAGCCTCACAGCCATACAACAAAGCAGCCCGTACACAGCATGACACACATGTCCCATGAGATTCGGGAATATATCACTTTGACGTCATGGGTGTCTCAGATTCGTGCACTGACCTCATCTGTCACACTACAGTCAGAACTAATACAACTTCAAAGAAACGTAAAACGCTCCGCAACTTGGAGTGCCTCGCCCTGAAGTGCAAGTGGCGTGTTTAGTGACTGCGTGTCCAGGAGCGCGATCTTACACCATATGGGTGCGGGGTGCATATCGTAGCACGAGATGGATTTGTTTAGTACAGTCAAAAACACCTGCGCCTTCTCCTCCTCTGCGAACACGACGACAATGTCGTCTGCATATTCCAGATCGAAAAGATCTACGTCACGCCGAAGTATTGAAAACCTTCAAGCACTCGTCTCATTATCTCACCGATCACGAAATTAAATAAGGATGAAGAGAGTCGGCACTCCTGACGTACACCACTTTGTGTACGGAGGCTTTTGGAGTGCTGTCCGTATACTTTCACACGTCCAGAAGTCTGAGAATACGAAGAACGTATTTTGTTCACAAACATCCGGAACATTACTTGATGGACACACGTGTCAAGGAGAGCAGACCGGTCAACCGATTCGAATGCGTCTTGGAAATCCAGGAATACTGAAATAGTGGGTTATATGTATGGTGTTGTTCTAGCGCCTGACGGAGTGTGAAGATTTAGTCAAGGCAACCCCAGCCAGACCGGAACCCCTCTTGCTCCTCTCGAGTCATTGTTTGACGAGCCACTATAAGGTGACGAAACACAAGTGACGCCAACAGTCCCGTTACAACCGGGGTGAAGCTCCCCCCTATTGTTACCACGCTCAACATGAGCTGAAAATTAGCACTATCACCGACACTCCCTAGTTATCTGAGACGGTCTACTTTCCCAAGTGCAGGCAAGCAAACCAAATAACCCCTGACTGAGGACCTCATTTCCACCTTTGAAAAATGCGGGTGGGTCATCCGGACCCTGAGCTCGGTGGCGCTTGTGAGGATGTATGCAGCTACAAACTCCCGAGGCCGTAGGATAGTCACAAAGAGATTGGAATTTACCGTGGTGTGGCGGTTTGTGCACCTCGGCCACCCATTGGGCCATACTAGGGGGGTGTCCCCGCGACACTCACAGAGTCTCTCATAGCAGGTTGGTCAATGGTTAGAGGTCTGACAAACACAGTCTTCTGGTTCTCCAGGTTAAGGGTTGGAAGATATATGGTGACTTGTTCCTTAGAAACGGTAATGTATTTGCATTTTCCGCCGAGCACCACTGCCTTACTGTCTGGCTGTTGAGCGGAACGCTTTAATGTGGGGACCTAAATCGTCCTCCTGTCTAGGTGTGGGCAGTATTCCAGCCCACATGCAACCGTGAGTAGCACATATCCATGGGAAACGATTTTTCAGGGTCTCTGCATGACTTTTTTTGGAAACGAAAATTGATCGTTTCTATCTACACGTCTACTATTACTCAAGGACCTTTCTATTTAGACTTTTAACGGCTGTAGGGGATGAATCACTACAAAGGTGATGTACTCGAAGGGGTCGTAGTTTAGGGGATTGCACATTCACGTTTAGTACTTCATAACCAAGTGTTGACACGTGTACTACTCAACACCACCTCAAAACTACGGAAAACAGAATAGTCCCTGGAGCTTGCGCTTTTTCTATCGGATCCCCTAATTCAACTGCTTGTTCTGTTTTCATCGAGCAACTACAGCAAAAGATGGTCAAAAACAAAAGTACTCCCAAATGACCGATTTATGTGAAACGAAATTCTGTGTGTACGCATGCAACCAATTGTCTGACAGATAAAAGTACGGTGAACTTGCTGGTATTGACTTCAGGAATGATATATATATATATATATATATATATATATATATA